AGTGCACTCTTATCTTAGTACCTTAGCTGCTGGAAGAGATGACCGTCAATAACCTTTTGGCGACAAACTTTCTGTCGACAGTCAAACACCAGTTAGCATGAACAAGCAGATCGGATACCGTCAATCTTGTAGGCACATCGACCTGCCATTTCACCACGTACGCGAGAAATTCAAAGAGGTAGTAATCGATTCTTTTGATCCAAGAACTCATTATCTTGCAAAATTGCCTATCCAAATTGATTGCCTCGCCACAGTTCTCCATAAAACAGACGATACAGGGGCATACTTCCTAATAATGTAGATCTATTGACATGAAGATGAAAACGTAAAGGACTGTGAGACCATATACTTAAAAATGGCTGCGCCTGCAGATAGTATGGTCGCACGGGTGCGAGTCGTTGCTGTTGGAGCTCCGAAATCGAAGGATCCATATCGGCATTCTACAGCTGACCAGGCATATTTGCCTGTATAGATGTAGCAGTAAGATATTGCAGTCTTGTCCCCAGCATAGGTGTTCATGAATTTCGCTTCTCATAATCATTGCCTTTAAAGGGTGACGTCTAACATAAAGACCTTGCCTAAGTATCGACGACAGTTGTCTGCGAAGCTTTGATCTGTAGCACATTTGCAGCTGGCGTGTTGATCTTGGTAGACCTGTCGAATCCAACACCTTCGCACAACCATTTCGATCAAGGAGAAGTTTAGAAGAAGTGCGGTCAACTGAACGAAACAAGCCTACTTGAACGGAAGAAAGAGTATCTCGTAGTTATGTCGTAAGATAACCTTTTAGGCGTCGTTTTTCAGCTATATTTATCTTCACATATATATGTCATGGAAAACGTCGCGCCGTATAGAGGCGGGTCGTGCAAAGTATACATCTTGCACACGAAGTACAGGAAGTTTTTGATGACACAGACTAGTCCGAGTCAAGGTGAAAAGGGGTCTGTACTTAGTTTGCGCAAACTTATCACTTTCACTATCGTTGAGTCGCTGTCAACTTATTCTGAATTACAAACATCCACTACAGGCTCCACCAACATACAACTTCTTGCATTTCTGTTTGAATAAGTGAATAGAGGTCGGTATTTTAATCGATATGAATGGATGTGGAGAGTGTCTTGCATCCGTGTACTGGATACGACCTGCCAAGGTATTACGGAAATGTCGTTGAACAAACTCCTCACGTAAAAGTCACTTTGACATTGATCTATTGTCAATGTCATAGAACTTTGACAAAATACACAAATGACAGCCACCCCGTTGCACCGTCTAGATCACCCAACTGTGTACTTATTTGCAACTCCAGATTACCCGCTTCTGGTCATACTTTTGGCTATTATCTGCTAGCTTAACACTCAGTTGACACGAGATCAATGTCTATATCATGTGTTACGGGGTCGCCGGGTCACATTACACACAACGTCTGCAGAGCTAACTTTGCGACGATTGCACTTGCGATGGACAACCAAATAAACTGTTGTAGCATTGATTTGAGAGAGTGAACCGACATTACGTTATACCAAGATGCAGATGTGCTGACGCTACAAATAATCAAAATCGTCTCATTGACCGCGTTGCTGTGTCCGGACTCCCGCGTGGCGGCAACCGAAACTGTTCCTATAGGTTGGCTACCGGATGCTTGCAAATTGAGTCGGAACATAAGAATACCACACCCGCGTCAAAAGTCTTCTGATTCGATACGGTTGCCTCGAAATCTTCGTTGCTACGCCTGTAGTGCTTGAGCCGATATCGGCATCAGGCAACAACTACCTCCTGTCGAAATAGTCACCGCAAGTTTTCTGGTACTCGTGGAACTTGCACTCCGTGTGACGAGGTCACCAGCAAGGATTGCAATTGCAATGATTAGACAAATAAGGGATTTACACATCCAATGCATTTGCCATTCCGCCACCGATGGAGCCATTAATCAGGTAACTGGTTCCTTGGCGCCGCAACGGCGTCCGTGGCTGGATGCCCCTCATTTGGTAGTATTGCAATAATTGTGTCGGAATCTCAGCTAGTGTTTCCTGAACAGACCGAAAAGTCGTGTTAGTCATCATGACCCCGATATCGTAAAGCAATCACAAAGCCGAACCTTAGCAAGTCTTGCGGGATCGCGGCGGAACTGATTGAACGGGACGAACTGAACACTGCGTGGACACAATTATCACCAAGTATTCGCAAATGCCAGGTACCACAAAAACAAAACGTACATGTCTCGCGCAGCTTGTTGCCCTCTGGAGTCGATCAAGACCTTACCGTCGGCATCGAGAGCGTTCATAGCGGTGAAACTGGCGTTGCCCACCGCAACAATCACGATGGACAACGGAAGAGTCGAAGCCTGCACCAGTTCGTCAATCGTCTGTTGCATGTCCATGATAGCCCCATCTGTGATAATGAGTAGCACGAAGTACTTGAGCTCTCCACTTTGCTCGGCAGGCACTGAGAACGTTCTAGCAATCGCTGCAGCTTGGGCCACTAAAGGTGCAAACATCGTCGGACCATGCAGCTGTACAAATTGAAGCGAGTTGTAGTATGCATTCAGAATCCCTGCAACACCCTCCACTTCCGGCTGCGTAGGATCAAACGTCAACGGGAAACAGTGATTCACGGCTCCATTGACCAGCCCACCGAAGCCGTACACCGGGAAACGCTTGTCTGAATCGTAGTCTTCCAAAATCGCTCCAGTCGCAGATATGGCAGCTTGATAATCGTTCATTTGACCTTGGTTGTTTGCTCCAACAAAGTGTAGACTCGAAGGGTCCACGTGATTACCATTCGAAGCTGTGTAATCGATGCCAACGATCAAGCTAACTTCGCAGCCACCGCGCAGATATTCTGCAAATGTGTGCCGTTTAAAGTGCTCAATCTGTTCAAGAAGCAAGACGCCTGAATTTTTGTATCGCTTTCCCTTTCTTGCTTGTCTGTCGCCGTTGATCAGGTCCATACTACGAAGCTCCCCCGCTAAGAATTCTGCGGCCTTTACTACACAGCTACCAATGAACTGGTGCTTTCCGCTCCTTTCCCAATCCATGCACTCAATCTTGAGCAGTAGCGACACATTTCCGTTGCAAAGCGTCTGGACGCTAAGAGTTGCACGACGCCATTTTGGGTTACAGTTGTCCATGATGACTTCGCTGCGCCACACTAGAACCCAGGACGTGGATGCAAGCGGATCGGCATTTTCATCTCGCAGTCGATATATATTAAGAAAAGGATCCGAAGCGCCAAACCAGCCGTCCTTGTTGTCCAGCTTGTTCGCCGTAAACGTGACGTAGACCATATCAGCGCATGTCGAAACTTCTGCGGCGTCTATCACCACGTGACCAGATAAATTGCGCACATGTCCTCGTCCGTTATCTTTCTGCAACAGCTTGAGGACTACCGACTGACCAGTGGCGGACATCAACTGCCCCATCGTGATCTCCACGCACCCAAGAAAGTCATGGTCCGATAATCGTTCCGACGCACCGTCACGGTCAAACACCTCGATTCGTAATCTCTGGACCTCTTCAAAAAAGAAATCCACTTGGAAAGACTGGACAAACACCGGGTCCGGTGTGTTGTTAACAGTTTCCGTGCGTCCAAGTTCCTGCCATCCCTTGTTCTGGCCATCTTGCATGTACAGCACGACAAAAGGATCCGAGTGACTAAAAAAGTCAGACTTCTTCAGTCCCTTGCAGCGGAATCGGAGCTCCACGACGCTCGACGGCGTCAAGTTCCTCCCATCCGGTGTCAAACCGATTGGTCTCGGAGGCGACGAGGAGCTGCGCGGCTGCACTGGCCCATAGCCGCCATGCAGCGATGGTTCGCGCTGAAGAACAGCGGGTGGCTGCTGCATGGCACCTTGAGAGCCAAACGTCTGACTCGGCCGGAGTGAGTGGGTGTGGGGGTTTTGACCATAGGGGGCGCTACTGTACTGATCTTGCTGCTGTTGTTGTTGTTGTTGCTGCTGCTGTTGCAATTGCTGTTGATATTGCTGGACGAAACTGTCTCGGGACGGAGCAGGGGGGTAATGGTGCTGTCCAATATCAGGATAAAGACCGTACAGCTGCGGCTGCTGCTGCAAGTACGGAGGCTGAGCGAAGCTCTGCTGGTTCGGCAGCGAGCCCCGACGGTCTGTTGCTGACGCTTGGGGCGTCGATCGGTGCCCCGAGATGGCTGGGGGCGCTGACGGGGACGTGAACGAGCGCTCGCGTTGGTAGTAAGTGGGCTGCGAGTACATTGTCGCAAATTCGGGACTGACAGACTTCCCCAACGGCTCGGGTCGACATGTCGCAACAGTGAGAACGTCAAGTGGCTACACAGCTGGAAACAGCACGCGAGCAAAATCCACACGAAGAAAAACGACTGACTGTTTTTCGAGTCGGTGGCAGTCCCGCGGCAGCAGATGTGACGGTGCTTTGTCACACGCGAGAAGTCGGACGGAAAGGCGCTGCGGTCAGAAAACAGAGCAGCACTTGGGGCAGATTGTCGACCGCGTTTTTGTCTTTTCTACCGTCGGCTGTCAGTCGAGTGGGTTACCGATCAAGTTGTCTGCTGCAGCTGCGAAGCACATCACTAAAGATATAGTCCACGAGTCATGAACGAGATGTAGTTAATGCACCAGTGCGTAGGCCGTGAGAGAGATCAGTTTCTGGTAATGGATCTGTCGACGGACAGCAATGCCTGAGATCGGCATAACCCAGTGGGCACTGACGTCTCGCCACCTTTTGTTGCAGCGTGAGTTGTTCAATGCACACTGAGGTCACTGTCGCTACCTCGATCTACAGGCTGCAGTACCCTCAGCTCGCACGCTCCAGTACTGCATTGCAAAGAGTGGCTGCGTCTATCTCTGCCCTCGAAAGAGAGACGTCTGCGGTTCAGCAGTGCCCAGCTGCAAGTCTGCGTGCGAACAACGCGCGCGATCGACACAGTCAGCTGCTCTACCGCCATGTCCAACTGCGCTAGCATACCGCCAAATCGATGGGTGACAGCAGGTGGTGTCGTCCAGGTCACCACTGTCAACTTAAAAGTGCTTGTTTCTCATGGCTTGACGACTCGTTCGTCGAAGGAAAAGCTGTACGCGCGTATGCACAGTCACGAACATACTAATCGCCGCGCCTGTGAGATGAAGCAGATACAGTCTCGACGTGACCATTCTCCGTTGCGTCAATGATAAAACATGAACACTGTCAAGTCTGAGCGCGTTCTACAGCAAAAACTGCTCACTTTCTCCGGATATTGTGTCGTTTAACGATGCAACGAGCACAAGACGCCAACTGCTTCGTGCACATTCACACTCGTGCAAGTGACCGCATGAAGACCGTCATGCAGCGCGGACGTTTTCGACGAGCAATGTACCGATGTAAGCCAACGACGCATCAGCTTCAGTTATCGTGTCGGCAGTGGTCAAGTACGTGGCTCTGGTTTGCTTTGCCTACCGCAACATGTAAGAAGGCTGCTACAGAACTTGCAGAAACACACCAGCCACGCAGTAGTTGGTCGGAAGTCCAAGAATGTGTTGATGTCTTTTTATCTTTGATGTAGACAGACTGTGGACTGAGAGAAAAAGTAGCGGTACCGACAGTCGGATCTGAGAAACCAAAATGGTCTCAACCACGTGAGCGAAAACACCAGCACAGATGCCACTATTTCTACTACCACTACTCCCACTATTTCTACTACTCCCACTATTTCTACCACTACTACTAGTGCTCCCACTATTTCTACCACTACTACTCCAACTGTTTCTATTACTACTACTACTACTGCCAGTACTACTACGAGCAATAGCGTCTCAAACCCCTCAGCCATAGCGATGCTGCTGATGCTTGTGGACGAGTGCAAACAGCGCGTGTGGGCGTTTCTGGACGCGCAGGGGCTCTGTCGAGTCGCGTGTGTCGCCCGCGATGCCCAACAGGGAGTCCGTGTGGGTCCGGTGTGGCTGCGGCATTCTCGAGCGCTGCTGACGGAGGGATTGGCGTCGCTGCAGACCGAGTTGGGGGTACCTGGCTATGGACCGGAGAGAGGTTGTGGCAGACATAGGCATCTGATGCTGCGGGAGAGTCAGTACGGCGCAGTGCTCGAGGACAGAAGTCGCGACGCTATTGTTGACTGGAGGCGCTGGTACCGCGACACTCACGTGGTACGGACTACGAAAAGATGAGGAGAACTGTTGGACCGAATGCTGATGGGTTGTCGTCGTAGGCACTGCGAACGAGTCGGAGCAGTAGCGCGGAGTTCGTTCGAGCAATGAGTGATCTGCAACAGCTAAAGACGCAGCGATTGCAGCTGAAAGAGGCGATCCAACGTGTGAAGGCTTCTGCGCATGCTGACAAGCAGTCTCGACGAGGTCAGATGAACTGCGTTCGATGGATGAACAGGACGCACAGACGACTCGCTACAAATGCAAACTTGATGCAGGCCCAGCACGCAGCAATGTCGAAAGCCGAGTTGGCTGAGAAGTTGCAATGTGCGGAGAAGTCCATCCAGGATACGACGAGAGAGCAATTTGGGCTGCGCAAACAAGCGATGAAGAGTCTGCACAAACTGAAGACGCAGCTAGCGAGCGGGATAAAGATGATGCAAGATCTCGACACTCATGTAGAGCTGCGCAGCTAAACATGCAAGTTGCCGCATCACAAGTACTTGATGTAAGTGCAGCACGACACGTGCTGGATTGTTTCGCGATCTTGGACGACTGTGCTGTTTACTTCAGCTAGCTACCCTTGGTCAGTGCAGCTGAAGGGTTCCAGTAGGCTTCCTTGTACAGAATGTGGCTTTGGGATGGTGCTCGACAAGTGTGTCAATCGAGTTCGAACCAGCTAGCTGCGCGACATGAACGACATGGTGAGACCCAGTCATGCGAGCAACAATGTGTGAAACAAACGCAGACGACGAGATGTGCTGAGCATCGCTTGCGATATGCCGCGAATTTGAGGGCACGATGAACAATGACATCGTGGAGCGTGAGCAAGCTTCGTATGCTTTCCAGCACAATCTGTACCCTGGAAGAGGTTTTTTGACAGCCCCGAGCGGTCGAGCTTTTTGCGGTCAAGTAAATGATGGCTTGAATGAGAGCAGATTATGTGGCCGGTGTCATGGTCGAAGCTTCGAGCGAGGAAAAGATGACGCTATGAACGCCAAAGAGCGGCGTTGAAGTGTTTCCACAGCATTACAAGGTCAGGGAAGAATGATACGATCAGGCAATATCTGATTGCTATTTGGGATTCGTCGCGTCGACCCACGAGCGATGCAGTTCGTGGTAAACGAATACACAGAACATGACGGAAGATGTGATCAGGAGGCAACTGATTGAAATGTGGCTTGAGGCTGAGTCACAGTAAACGGTGCTTGTTGCTAGCTATCGGATGACATGTGGGCACTCTCGGACGCATCGAACATATCGGCTGACAACACACTTTTTCGCAATAACAAGCAGCGACTCATGGTATGCTCGAGGCGGCTTAAGATCTGAGAAGTGAATGACCAGATGGCTCTAGTACTGTCGAAAAAGACATCCTCGTGGCAATCATAAACGTGCACGAATGCACCAGCGTTCATGCAGTGACTGCGTTCACCTAACGCGTGCCCGTGCGAGGACGCACGAAGCCTTCCTCTTTCGACTCGTCCATATAGTCCTCTTGCTGCGTGCAGATGCGCAAGATTTCTTTCTTGCTCGACTCTTGCTGGTAGCCTCCGATAAAGAGCTCGTCCAGAATGTAGTACGCCTGTAAGCAAACACCCGTTACTTAGCCTTATTAGTCATGTGTCGTAGTCAGCACATGTAGTCCACGTGTACCTTGTGGAAGTTAAAGATGATGTCCAGCTCGCACACCTGCGGCAAAATCATAAAGCACTCAGTCTCCACGGTCTTTGTACCCTCCCCGTTCCCTCTCTCTCTCTCTCTCATCCAGCACTCGGTCGTACATTGCCAAAGTAGCGGTCGAGCACTTCCACGAACAGGTGAATAGCCTCCAGCGTGATCAGCTCGTTCTCGTCCTTGGAGATGCACGCGATAAAGTAGAGACTCGCGTATCTATCAAGAAGAACACGGCCAGTCAGCAGACTTCCATCACCATGACAAGAAACACACACGGCGTCCTGCGATGCAGATCCCCCACCTCTTGTAGATGATTTTCTTCTCCTTGAACTCGATAAAGTTGCACTGTTTGTGCGGACGCGAGAGGACGAGCGACGTAATGTCGCGGATCATGCGCGTCTTCTCCTTCAGCGAGGCGTTCAGGTACCACTTGGCGAGGCGCGTCTTGCCCTGGCGACTCACGAGCAGGACGGACTCAATCTGTACGTCGTACACATATCCATACAGTCAACACCGAGCAGAGAGCAACGCAGTGAGAGAGGGAACGAGAGAGACAGGAGGGAGACCAGTCGGCGCTTACCATAGCGAAGATGAACCCACGCGCTGCGTCAGACTGGTACTGTCACGTCATGCGCTGCAAAATAGTGTGTCACACAGCATAATTGGTGTCGCGCACCTCAATTTACGTTGGCTCCGCACACTTTCTCGCTGGCCAATCAAGTTGCAAGACGCTCTGCCGTTGGCCAATCAAATTACAAGACGTCGTCGTCGGCCATGAGCTTCCGATTGGCGTCGGCGGCATTCCGCGCGAGTCACGTCCGTCCCGCGTCCCGAGCGCCTCGTCTTCGACTGCTTCGCACTGGCTCCGTACACGACCAGCAGCTGCGGCGCTGTATGATGACCGAGAGCATGGGCCCTGTCGCCCGTCGCATCCACGAGAAGCTGCGGACTGCCTTTGCGCCGCAACATTTGGACGTAACGAACGAGAGCTTCATGCACAATGTCCCCAAAGGCTCCGAGACGCACTTTAAGGTGGTCGTCGTGACCGACCAGTTCAATGGGAAGCCGCTCCTTCAGCGTCATCGAATGGTGAATGCAGTCCTGCAGCAGGAGCTCGACGAGGGCGTGCATGCGCTCAGCATCCTCAGCAAGACGCCCCAGCAGTGGGCAGCCAATGCCGCGGTCCAGGCCTCGCCCAGCTGCCGCGGCGGAATGGCCACCGACCCGACCAAACAGGTGTTCCTGGAGAACCTGAAGCAGGAAAAGGAAAAGCTCGACAGTGACTGTGCGAGTGAGTGAGTGCACGCGTGCGTGCGTGGACGCCAGTGAATAGAAACCTGCAGCAACAATGAGCTACTGCGCGTCTTGTTCAGCACTCGTTGCGTCGGCCAGCATTGTGATCGACTTTTGCTTCGTGGCTTCGTCGCTTCTGTTCCTTTCTAGCGGTATCGCCGCTGCAGCATACTGTTGAGCAGGACAGAGAGCAGTCCACCGGCGACGACACCTAAGATCTCCTCTTTGTGCTTGTCCAGGACGCACAGCAAACTTTGCACCGACACGGGCAGCTTCTTCTTCCATGCGTTGAACAAGAGACGTTGCGAAACGCGCGAGCCAACTTCCTCTGGAATCGAAACGTCGTGGGACGCGATGTACTGGTAATGCAAACGCGCTACAGCTTCCATCAAGACCCCTTCAAGATCAGCTTCGTCCTCTGGTCGCGTGATCAGACGTTGGTCCGTCTCCGTGATCAGCAGCACCTCGTCGAATCGCGAGTGCAGTTCGTTCGCGATGACCACGTGCACCGCGTACTTGTCGATCGCTTGTCGTGCTTTTTGACACAGAATGGCCCGGTCCGTCTCGAGCTTGAACGACACTACGAACGACTGCGGCGCCCACTGGCGCCGCAACACGCCGAGCATCTTCGGGACTTGCTGCAGCGTCAACGTGAGCGGTCCTGCTCGTGACTGGATCTTGTGCTCCGTCAACTCGTGCTGCGGGATGTAAAAGTCACTCACCGCTGCTGCCAAGAGGAACAACGCGCGCTCTTTCCACGGGGCTACACACGCTGCGAGCATTTGCAGGACGGCAAAGTAGTCGGCCACCGACGTGAACGGCAGCGACAGCAGCGTATTGGACGCGCGCGCGCTTCTCAGCTGCCGAACGGCGTCGATCACGTGTGTCTTCGCTGCAGCGTCTTCGATCAACAGCCGAATCTGCTGCTCGTTTGCGTGTTGTGGTTGACTGCTGCCAATGGGTACGTCGACGTAGTGCAAGAACTGGTCGTCCAGCGACGCCCGTGTCGCTCGCTGCAAGTGCCGAGCGAAGGGGGCGATAGAGCCGGGACGGTGCACGTAGACCACCGCGTAGCCAATGGCCAGCAGGCGCTCGACCGAAGCCGCTCCTCTGGCGCCCGTCGAGAAGTTGTCGAGGAACCGCACCGTGTGGCGCTCCAGTGGGACAGTTGTGCCTCCGGACGTTACGATCGCGACGCATCTGCCCACGATGCGGTGGTGCGCGAGGAACGCTTCGACGCGCTCGCGGTGTCCGTTGAGGTACTCTGGCGGCGGCGTCGAGCGGAAGTACGCGTCCGTGAGGCGCTGGTCCTCGACTAAAGTGCTCATTGGGTCTCGATGAAGGAATGACCGTTGAGGGGTCTGAAGCGTGAACATTCGCCCGGAGAGGGAACACAAAATGTATCTGATTCTCGACGAGAGTGGAAACACACGCACGCACACGAACGCGCACGATGTGGTTTTCAAGAAAAGCGCGTTTTTGCCGATGTGGTTTTGTGTGAGAAAGCTTTTTTTATCAAACCAACAAAAGAAGAAGTCTTTTGAGCTTGCGAGATTGTAAAGGGCGCATTGGTTAACAGCGCTTTCGTGAAGATTTGTTTTCGCCATGTTCATGCACGTGCTACGCATGACATTCCTCAGTACATTCGACAGTCTCACAGCTCACGGGCTCAGCTCCACACACATATGCTACAAGCCGAAAGCAATGCGTTCTTTCCGACATTCAACTGGCTGGGACTACATTCTCTTTGAGACCGCCGAGCAGATTGCCATTTGCCAGGTTTGACCAAAGTTTGCTGGTTTTGCAAGACAGGAAATCGCTTCGCCATAACCTACAAGCGTCCAGACGGAGCAGATGCTACGTAGGCCAAACAATTGCACCTACAGCCCTGCCGAATGGAGCTTCTTCCTAAGTGAGCTATTTGTTGCCATAAGGCCGCTGCATGCACTGCAAGGTTGTGAATAACCTTTCGATCTCAGTAGCTGTAGTCAGGAAGTATTGTTCACCACGAACAGAACCTTTTGGTGGAATGGACAATTGCACTGCCGGGATCAGGTCTTGTCCATATTCACCCGACACGCCAGCAATACCTTCGTTTGCAGGAACTGCAAAGGACACACTGTGCAGGAGACCACAAGATGCGGGCAACAATTTGTAGGCAATCGCGTCACACGTCGTCGTCTGCCTGGTACAGGAGAAGTGTCATTCGTGTGAAGCGTTTCGTGCAGTCAGCACAGCGATTGTACTTTCGTCAGCATCTCAAGTACGTCGTGTAGCCTGTATCAAAGGATCACGTCAGCATCGAGCCCGGCTACAAGTTCATGTTCGCATTCGAAGGGCCGCGGCAGCTCTGTCGCGAGGCTGTCGCTGATCGTTTGGTTATAAACGTATCAATTTGTCGTTCTCAAAGTAGCCGTATACCAGTTGCTGACGGCCACAGCTTCCACAGCTTATCGCCATCCTTGGCCTTGTACAGAATCGCCCTTCTTTGCTTTCGAGTGCTCCCCTACAAACGAGGTGCTCCTCGTCAAGCCGCAAGCAAGATGGCCAGCGATGATTCGTCTTTGTGCTCGTCGACTGCAGTGAATGCTCATTTACAAGCAGCTCTTCCGCAGTTGCAGTCCCTAGCACGTCGTGTCAGCCGCTCTTCTAACATGATGCAACCCGATGTGGCGTAAGTTCAGCTCTTCATTCATACCATTTGCCATGTAAATGTCCATCACCAGTTTCACGTCCACCGTTTCCCGCCGAATATGGTCAATCTGGCATCAAGTCCAAATCTCACGTCGTCAGCTCATTCGTTCGTGCATGTTTCCAAAGAGCACACCCGTTTCAAATCAACGTCGGAGAGCTCGAAAAATTACTTGTGTGAATCGACTGACCTACTTGTGACTGACCGAGTACTTGTCGTCGCAGGGACCCCACGTACATGATATAATGCAAGCCGACACTTGTGACAGCAATGTGTGTCCCTCTTGTGAAGTGACCGCAGACCATGGTCCTCACGAACGGTGCTCGATGACAAGTACGTTCACCATCGACGACTGTGTGCCACCTCACGCTTCTTGCAGCAACAACGAGTCGACCCTCATACTTTGCTCTGCTCCTTCCAGACCGCGACGGTTATTTATCAAAAGACCTGACCACCGTCGGGTCAAGCGCCCGACCACTTCGCACGAGTCGACTCAACTAAACGATGACACGATATCTTCGTGCGCAAGAGAGATAGTGTCGCAGGACGACGCTGCGCTCTTCAAGTTTACGTCATTCAGTCCGAGCGGACGCTGTGGTTTCTGAACGGTTTCCGTTGGAACCCGCCGCCGCCGACTGAAGGGTCTACGTAAGTACTACCTTTGGCACTGCGCGTATAACTCTTCTGCGTCTCATTTCTCAACTCGCAAGCAATTGACCATCCGCTCTACTCTACATCCAACTCATGAAATTCCTGAACCCTTTGGTGCTGGCTGTCGCGTTTGTCGCCGCGTCTGCAGACGAAAACTCGACAAGCATTCTGCTCCCAATGAATATGTCGGCATCAGGCTCAATGGGTGTTGCTCCTGAAATGCCGAGCTCGTTGCTGGATTCTTTCGACGGATTGACCGGCTCGGAGCAGAGCGCTAGCGATTCCACGTCAGCTTCCAGTGAATCCTTTTCAGATGACTCCATGAGTTCATCTGTCTCCGCCTCCGGTAGCTCCGGTAGCTCCAAAAGCATGGACACGAGCATGTCGCTCAGCATCGACGGTTCCAGTGGCTCTGAGGACTTGACCATCGACAAACCCATCTGGTCGGAAGACAACTCGGGCAGCAGCTATTACAGCACGGAAGAGGCCGACAACCTTTTTGCCAGCGCGTCCACGGACTCGGGATCGAGCTCGGCCGCTACCAGCATCCAACGCGCTGCATTCTACACGACGGCTTCGGTCGTTGTGGTCGCGGTAGCTCTTTTTTAGGACAAACTTACGTCAAACGATTGCATCACGCATAAGCGACCGCAATGTAAATAAAGACATCACATTGACGCCAGAACGTACTACTTGTCTTGATGAATTGTTCAACCATTTTCTTGCTTGTGTTCGCACACCTTCTTCCACTTTCGGTCGAAATTGACTCACGTACGAGCTGTAAAACGACTGCCGCGTCGTGGACGGACGCAAGTGCCGCAAAGTGGTACGCTCACGGGGTGACAGGGATGCCAACGAAACCCGTTTCTTCCGTTTCGCTCGGTCCAGTACCCCTAAAGAAAACGTGCTAACAGAAAATGCGTTGCGAAACGGCCGAAAAGTTCGTTCCTGTCCGTTTCGTGCCCGAGCCTTTCGCGTGTTTACTTGCTACTTTGGACAAGAGGAAGCAAGTCCACGGCCAAGTTCTTTCTCATTCGCACATTTGCACTCTAGCACTCGCACTCACAGTCACACACCCCAGTCTCCCAGTCTCCCATTGATCCAAGATGATGAAGTTCTTTGCCACCGTCGTCATTGCGACTGCTCTCGCAGGACAAAACGGTGCCCTTGCGCAGTCGTCTTCCACGATGACGTCGAACGAAGAGGCGATGGGTCCAGCAGCTCCATCAACGGGCGATGAAATGACGATGACGTCCAACGAAGACACGATGGGTCCAGCAGCTCCATCTACTGGAGATGAATCGATGACGGCGTCTAACGAAGACACGATGGGGCCGGCCCCATCTACGGGAGATGAAACGATGATGGCATCCAACGAAGACACGATGGGGCCGGCTCCAACCACTGGCGGTGAAGCGACGACAACCACCGACGAGGCGACGACTCCAGCTCCAGCTACTGGAGACCAAATGATGGCGAACAACTCGACGGCGACGACGGACGATCCAAGTTCGACCAACGGCGACGGCACGATGGGCAACGGCGAAGCCGCCACGAACGACTGGAGCGGTACGGACACAGGTAACACGGGGGGCGACATGCCCAGCTGGGCGGGTAGCATGGGAGCATCGGAGTTTGCTGGAAGTGTGGGCTCTGCTAGCGGCTCTGGAGTCGGTAATACTGACGTCGGTGACGAGTCCTCGAGCTCTAGTACCAGCGGAGCCGTCGGCATGCAGTCGTTCACGCTCACGGCGTCGAGTGTTGCGGCCGGTCTTGCTGCTGCTTTCTTCTTCTAAGTGCTCAACTTAAGAGCGCTGTTTACAAACTTGTAGCTCAATAAACACGATCAACATGATCCTTGAATTTGAAAGACTCGTCGGTCGAGTTGATGATGCACTTGAGTATGGTGACGCCTATCTCGATAAGAACGGGCGCTGTGAAAGAGGCGTCTCGAGCTTAGTCCCGATCTTGCTGCGTTCCCACTTGTCGAAACGCAAGTCATGCCATTCACGCTTGTATCCACCCGTCTTCTTGTCATCGAGGGATACAGAAGATACCCACAACCTTTTACTCGTGTTACGGACTTGAGCAAAAGGTGAAGGACAATCTGTCGAGCACGTTTCTGTGCGACAACTTTGTCCATTTCATCTATCCAAGACTTTCTTTCGTCGCTCGACGATCTCGGGCCTGCCGAATCTGCTGTGTCTATCCCCTTCGCCACGCGCGCTTGCTCGATCCGTGCTCGACGTGAGGACGAGTTTGCTCGTCTTGTTGACCCAAAGAAAAGGCCATCTCGTGAGTTGCGTGCTAGGTAGATGATTGATTGAATCCGTACCATAAGTCGCACGGACAAGTCTTCCGCGTTTACAAGTCTTATTGCAGGCATTATTGTCGCTTATTCGATTCGTTGAGACCACTTCAGGTGTCGACAGACTCGCTGGCGACACTTGTATCACTCAGACACAAGCTCTCCTTCTTCCTGACTGTATGTCGTTGATGTGTCTCTTGCGCAATGCACGCAATCGTGTTGTTCATCGGCACTGCAGATGCTGCAATCTCGTCCGTTCGTCCTGCTGTCAATGCAACAGCTGTGACAAGTGAGTCGTGGTCAGCACTTCAACTGCAAGACCTGTTGCAGGTCAAATGCGCCCGCACTTGATTGGCTGAAATGAAAAAACGGTATAGCCGGATTACAAATCGAGGGATCCGCGGGTAGAGGGACAGAAGATGAGACTGAAGACAGGTGATGGACTATCAGAAGTGCTTTCTATCGCATGCTTGTCATATAAGGTTGAGGGATCCACGACCAAGTGTCATCCGTTATAATCATGTGCAAGATCGCTGAAGGCTCCTTGATCAGGAACACAGCGATGGTTATGGCATCGGTGGTCGCTTTGAGACTTTGCATGACACACGCTTCGAGATCGTCTTGTGATCTCGCCAGCAGTCGAGACCGCACGAGTGACGGTATCGCCAGAGCTTCGCGATTTGCACAGCTAAAGGACCGGCTGGAGTCCGCTAGCTAAGAAACGGGAGTTTCCGTCGATATTGAGGTTTCCTTTAACCCGTGACACGTCGGAAGGACAAGGTGACTCTTTGTCATTGGAACGCGTCGCAATGATAAACGTTCAGCTGCTTGGTGACGACTCGGTACGCCTTCCAAACTTGGCAGTTCGATGCCTATTGTCATGGTTCCATAGCAAGGTGGAAGATGCTGCGCCGCTGTTCTTTGCCACAAATTCTTGCTACTTATCTCACCCGATAGATCCAATAAGGGCTTTGATATTGTTGTGTATTGCTGGCGTTGTATGTAGCTAGAGCACACCCTAAGCCATCGCCGTAAGAATGGAGGCATGGGGGAAAATATCTGGCATCTCCCCCCATACCAACGATGTCGGAGATGGGCCAATGAGACCAATGCGTGATGCCGAACGTGTGCAGTTCAACTCGACGCTCCCCCTCAGACGCCGTATCTAGCTCCTATGGCTTTGTAAGAATTAATTGGTGCTCCCCGTCGTCCTGCTGCAATCGACTGTCGTAACCGTTATCATGACGACGACGTCGGTATCCCTCGATCAGCCATAGATGACGACCGGCCGTTACCATCTCATGCATCCAACTGTATTGGTTTCGTTCCGCGTGCGTCTGTCCGACCGTCTGTCCGGACATCAGGATCCAAGCAAATCGCTGCCGACTGACGGTGTGAAGAGCGACAGAAGATTGTGACTACGGGACAGAAAGAGCACCGACCATTTGCACCTGAATTATCGCATACATCCTACATGCTCGGAGACAAGCAGGCCAGCGGATATGTGCCGTACGCCTATGTCAGCACGAAGAATAGAACACAAGCTGAAAGAAATGAACACACCCGACGCAACGTCGCTCAGGGTGGCATGATCGGCGGACAGATGATCGTCATCAGCAACGCGAATGTAGGCAGGTATACAGGAAAGCAAAAGGCTTGCACCATTTGCCGCACTGGTCGCTAGAGACTCGATGGTCACCACACGGCGATGCAAGCTTAAGCCAAGACGCTCGTCATTTCCTATGGGTGGCCCTGCAGTAAGTCAGTTGACAATGACGTTCACGGCGTCAACTAAGTCTCTAGCATCCTCTTGTCGCGGCGTTGTGCGTGTCCAGAAGCGGAGTCGCACCTTCAACTGATTCCAAGAAAGTGTCGTGGCTCTGTTACGCCTGGCTGGATTTGCCAACAAACGTCGACGCTGCCACACCTTTGTATCCGCAAGGAAACGACATTCATGAAGAGCAACAACACATCCGAAAACGAATGGTGCGTCAAATAGTTGTAAGTTCACGATTGATCAGCCATGTCATGCGCATGTTGCGCACAGTATCGATAATACGCGTCGCTGAATGCGTGTCGAACTGGCATGTCGCCATTCGAAAGAGAAGATGCTCGACTGAGCCTGAGCACGATGGTCGTGTTTGTCTGTAGTAAAAGCCAAAGGTTTGCTTGCACCGCCAATTACGAATCGAAGCTAGCAAGAAGACGAGGAGAGGCAGATGTGCATGCAGCATATATTCGTTTATCGCCGTCTGTCGTTCACCTGTCACGTCCAATGCCTCTGAGCCAAGGAAGGTGACATGAAACAACCGATCTCTCCAACATTGCTCAGCAGTTCTGATGAGGCTGTTCGTTCGGGCAGGCGCCGTTGGACACTTTCGTTAGGTGTAGATCCGGATTGTTACAGCTTGCGACTTCCAGCTTACACTCGCTGCCGTACGTGATGTCGTCTGATCCACACACAGGGTCAAACACGGCGGGACAAACATCCGGGCAGGATGCCACGTCTTTGCCTGAGTCCGTCGTCGTCTCGTTCGCTGCCGAGCTCCCTTCAACAGTCTTGCAAGCTCCTTCGTACGCCAAAGTGAGGCTGGGAACGTACGATGCGATAGCGCGCAGCAGGCAACTGTTGTTGTGCGTGACACCGTCCGAGCCACATACGGGCTCGAACGTCTCGGCGCACAAGTCCGGGTAGTCACTGAAGGTATCGCTTGGACCAGAAGAAGGGGAGGGATCGGGGCACTGTCCTTCCGACGTCTGCGTGACGGTACCTCCGCTTTCGCATTGGGCGATTTCAAGCAGACAGCCGTTACCGTACGTGATGCCGTCTGATCCACACACGGGAGCAAAGTTGTAGGGACACGCTTTGCCGCAGACTGCGGGCAACGAAATCGGCACTCCGCTTTTCTCATGAGGTGTCTCTGAAAGCCGTCGTGTAAGCGACTCGAGTTCTTCATCCTTGCACACGCCTTTGAACTTGACCGTGACTTCCACCAGACTGTTGCAGTTCATGGATTCCAGTTGGCATTGGCTCGCGTACGTTCTCCCGTCGGAGCCGCAGACAGGAACTAGGAGACGTGTGCAGGCGAATGGACATCCTGTGCCGCGACTCGGCACAATTGCGGCTGTAGCGACGAGCACAAGTCGAATGGAGAGCTTCATCTCGGTCACGGTTGGACGTTTGAGGGTTGTCAGAAAGTTGTAAAGTGAGTGAGGAAGGCAGAATCGCACCGACGAAAACGAAGAAATGCGGTTGCTGGTGAGGTAGGGAAGACAGCTCGCATCGAAAGACTGTCCTCATGCGTCACTCGCGAAAGCTGCTACTCGTGTCTCTTGAACCGATGATTTCGCCTATTCGTTTGTACGTGCTGGACGGAAGAGACACTCGTTCGAGCAGAGAGCTGGGAACATGTCGGAAAGGAAAGATTTTCAACACCTGCTCACGTTACACACATGACACGTACAGCACGTGCATCCAGTAGCTAGTGGGACTCTACTTGCGAAGGGTGAGCTTTCCGACTCCATTTCAGATTCATGATCGAGTGAATGCATTCCTCGATGGGTTAACTCAGCCTTCGTGTGCGTCCGCCCCTCTTTCTTGCTCAGAAGTCCTGTTGCTTTTACAAACACATACACACAGCGCAGGATCGCTGGATCGAGAAAGAGACAAGCAGAAGGTATATCCTTGCTTACAAAACACTACGAACGCGCTTGAGCTCGATTGAGCTAACTCCACCGAATGCACAACAGTGTTTGGCATACTTGACACGCTTTGTAAACACTGCCAACCAGTGATGAAGCTGCTTTACAGCATAACGTCCACGAAGTGTAGAATGGTGGAGAGAATTGTTGCTCTAACACAAACAGCACTTGCTTTCTTCCACCTGGCAACGTACCAACGTGCCCGGGATGTTCGTGTCGCTACCCTCGTCGGGAAGCTCCTCCGACTTTGTCGTGTGCAACGAACTCCAATGAGAGAAGATCACTTGCAAGCCGAAACTGCAGACGGTCAAAGCTCGAAAAGGTCAATCCTGTTGATGCATTCACCTGCTCAATTTGGACAACTGGAAACAATTGGCACTAAGTCGCACCATACGCAGCCGGTTACCTGCTGCTTCTTGTTGTGGTATGGCTTTGTCCATCCTCAACATCATTTTGTCTTCAGCTCTTTCAGACCGTCGAGTCGTTTGTGCATTCTGTACGCCTGTATGCGATACCTCTTGCAACGCTCTTTTGCACCGGCCTGCAGGACGCCAGAGACCCGAACGTCACAATAACAAACGCGGCGTCTAATTGCCACAATCGAATGAGATCGATCTAGGGATGCACATCGCTAGCAAACGAAGTGAAAGAAGGAGGAAAGTTTGCCACATCCTCTGTGACTTGTGCTTGTCTGAATTGACCTTGCACCTTGAATTCGATCCAGGCCACCGATCACTGCAAATGGCTTTTCATCGACAACCAAGTTGCAGACGTACGCACATGTTGTCCCTTCGGCCAGCATGAACGGTCGACGTGCTGGATCTGTGTGCTACCCTCGCGGTAGTAATTTGATGTAGTAGTTCGGCTTTCGCCGGACGACGGCTGATCCATTTGCTCTTGCACACGTTAGCACTGCATCTTTAACCTGTCAATTACATTGCACGACCTTACCTTACGACGACTTCGATGCGGGTCGCAATCGACTGAGTGTACCTCCGAGCTACATTCAGCTGTAATTGTCTTCTTGTTGAGAAGTCTACGTGACGCTCTGTGTGCAGATTGCTCTTTGCATCGTATACTTCTAGTCCAGTGCTGAGACATTGTTGCTCTGTTCGCCCTATCTTCTTCTACCGCAAACGCCAAGGCACTTAGATCTTGTAGTTGTTCGCGTATTCAATACCGACATTTCATTCTCACCAGTCTTCCTGCAACGAGGTTGCATCAAAGTCAAGCAGCTGCAGGGAATGCAATGTGGAGGCTACCGTTTCGAGATCGCTGATACTAAGACAGGCGCTTCGTTGACGGAGAAAGCCACAAACACCCTCATTTGCTACTCGATTGCTTGCTAGTAGAGACGGAGGTGCTACTCAACAGTAGTGCTTCTCAATAACTCGCGTATCGACTATCGTATGAAGCATGTAGCCTCGCAAGAACAGCAGACATCACGCAGATGTAGAAAGGCACATCGCCATTATTACCGAACATGCAAGCATCGCGCACGACACTGGAGAAGCGCACCATGCAGTTGGGTCGCGTTGTGACCCCATGCCGTCTTTCCTGTCAAGCACGCCTCTTGAGCTGTATACTAGCAAAAGTCGATGCAGCATTCATACTTGCCATGATAAATCGCATACAAGAGATACGTGGTCCGACGGAAAAGTAGACGATGGCAGTGCAACTTCGTGACTCACTTCCTCTTCGGTGAAAAATGGGAACACATCACGAACTTGTAACGCCTTCGATCCAACCATGATGTAGTCCAGAGTGTCCACAAATGACTTCACAAAATTCGTGAATGCTGGGATTCCACACGCACTTACTAAGCAAAGATCGTGCACCAATCGATTCGGACGGACTTGTGTAGTGCTTTCCACGCGGCTATTCGCGTCAGACCCATCACTTTGAGGTGTTTTCCATCGAAACGACGGTGCTTCCTGCCAGTGACAGTTTGTAGAATCGATTTGGCCATCCAAGAGGAACGCAACCAACGGTGCTTTAGGGTGTGCGTTCCAGTCCCCACACATGACGACAGCAGCATCTCCATATCCAGATACTGCTTTCCGCTGGCTTACACACTCCACCACTGCAGCACCTTGCAGCAATCGAATCAAGTGTGCATCTCCCCGGTAGAAAAGATGCGTGTTCGATAAAATGATACGTCGTGCTGGGTCCGCCTTGGAACGCAAGACAAAAATCTGAGCAATCGACGGAATCCGTTTTATGCCCGCAGCGATGTCAGGAAAATCTTGCAGCAGCTCTTGTGAGGCGGAATTTGTCGAGGTCGTGACCGCCGCAGTGAGGTCAACGGTATCTTCCTCAACCACTTCGAAGCAGGCCGTTCTGATAAAAGTCGCGCAGCCTTCGTTTGTCGTGCCCGTTTTGTCCGAGTAAAATCCATGGTAGCCACTCAACGACAGCATCGGTTGAAAGAATCTCTTGTACACGTGTTCACCCATTTCCTGCAGACAAATTATGTCGCTATTGTTCTCTTCAATTTCCTGCAAGATCAGTTGCATTCGACGCGACTCCTTCATGACGCGTGCGTTGACATACGGAAACATGTTTTTCTGTGCACGTTCCGAAGTCGCATAGCCGTCATACAGCACATTGTAGCTCATGACTCGAAACGCGTCTGCCACGTCCGGATACTTTTCACCAGCAGCTACCACACCCATGCGTCTTCGGTCCTTGAACACGTCTCGATTTGGTCCAGGCAACACGGGCGTCGTCACTCTTCCAGCCTTGTGATCTCGTGCGAGCTCCAAGCTCGCGTCTGCTGCAGGTCCACGACACTCTACATAAAACCTACAGCCAATATCGTTTTCCGTCGGCGTGTATCTTCGTTCACTGTTCACCAACGTCCTATCACTCTGCTCCTCGTCGTCCTCGTCGTCAATCTTCGTATTGATACGAAACCACTGCCACGAACATTCGTCAACTCTACAAAACTCCGTCTCGACCAAAGGGATCACTGCGATGCCAGCCATCAATGGATCCGGCACCTTCAGTCCCTTCACGATCGGCTGGTTGTGCAGAACCACAAATGTCTCTGTTCCAATGTCCAGTCTCTTAGTGCGCATCAACGCGTCGCCAACCGTCGCGCCTTTCGCAGCGATTTCGTTGCCTTCGCCATCGTAGAACCTGACGGAAACTGTAGGCGCTGGTCCACCTGATGGTCCATGTTTATGCTTCTTTTGCTGCTGCTGCTTCTTCCTCTTGTTCTTCTTGTGTCCTGTTGACACAGTGGACGCCATAAGCTGCAGGCGGTAGCGCACGCGCTCGACCTTCTCATCCACAGGTCGGACAAACGTCTTCTGCTCGTTGTGCAGACGTAACCGCAGCGTCAGATGCGACGCTAGCGGCGCGAAGCTCACGTGGGCCACGCGCGCAGCAGCAGTCGCAGCCATTCGCGTTCAAGAGCTCCCGTCGCCGAACGGTTCGGCTTTTCAGCCAATCAGAAGATGGCGCTGACTTTCGTGCAATCACCGACCAGAGCGCTCAGATGTCTCAGAGTTTGCAAGTCGAGCATGGCCAAAGTCGGGTACGTGGTAGTTTCGCGCTAGCTGCGACTTGTGCACGCAATACGCTCGAAGGCGGCGACGTCGCGGTGGGTGAAGTGGCACTAGCATGTTGGGTCTCGTCTTGCGCTGCGATTGCGCGCGTTTCGCACCGCATGCGGTCTCGAGTCGCTCTAGAAGGAGCGATTTCCTGCTGACAACTTTATCGCTGATCGATAGTTCTGTGTCGTTTAACTTTGCAGAGAGTGTGTGATTGTCATTGACGGCGCCAATGTGGCGTGCCAGAAAGAAGGCAATGTCCACGTCCCTAAGCTTGCGGCAGCCATTCAGTATTTCCGGTCGTTGCAACGGACAGCGGGGGGTCACCCCATCAAGTGCGTGGCGTTCGCGCCCAATTTCTGGCTCAATGCAAAGCCCCCGTCCAGCAGCAGTGACGGCTGTCGAGACAGCAGCAGTGCTATCGGTACACAAGACTCGGCTCTGCTCAAGGAGATGGTGCAGAACGACGCCGTGATCCTCACGCCATCCCACGCTCATGACGACTTGTACGTGATCGACTATGCGGTCAAGTACGATGGGTTTATCGTTACAAACGATATGTTTCGGGACCACGTCTCGAACAAGGTGAGAGGGAGGGGATGTGGGGAGGTGTAGAGAGACAGGTGATACTGGACAACTGACGCATTGACTGCTCCGACTGCTTGCTGGGCTTGTGTTTTGCATGTTGTTACGGTGGTGTTTAGCGGTCATTTCACGGCAAGACGTTGACGAGAAACTGGGCGCGCTTGCACTGCATCGATTTCACGTTTGTTGGGAAGGAGTTCATGCCAAACCCACGTGCGATGGAGCGCGTGTTCAATTTCCAGCCACTGGCAAAAAGTGACTTGCTGCTAGCGTCAGCTGCGCCGCTTTCGACTGCAGCAACGGCTAACATGACCAATGTGCCGAAGTCGAGCTTGCAGAAGACGCTGTCGGGTGATGACGGTGACCAAAGAGACGCTGACGATGATGTCGACGAGGACGGAATGGTGATTGATCACGCAGGCGCTAGGCAAAGGAAGCACATTGATCTCTCGGAGGTGAGTTACTACACGCTGCCACGCGAGCTGTTGCCAATGCTGCACGGTGAAGGAGGGATAACGATGGAGAAGTTCCAGGATTACACGGGAACGTACATTGTTCTCCCATCTTACACAGTGCTGGGATCTCCGTTGACGCGACCGAAGTCAGACGTGCTGACTGTGTCGATCTACGGGTCCGTTTGCTCGAATGAAGGTTTGGAATGCGTATTGTCACGCTTGTCTGACACTTTCTTGTATGCGTGATTCTGCAAAGACCGGAAGCGAGCCGACGGACAGCTGTTGGTTATCTCGATGCATTTCTTCTCGAGATGCAGCAGAAAGCGCAATATGCCTTCCAACAGCAACAACAGCAACAGCAGCACCAGCACCAGCAGCACCAGCACCAGCAGCAACAACAGTTGTCTTACCAGGTCCATTCGGCGACGATTTGTCCCCAGCAGCGACAGCAACATATAACTGGCAATGAAGACATGCGCACACAAGACGATCACTTGATGGAAATCGACTACTAGCAAAGTGACAAAACGTGGGTTGAATGAGACAGGACTGCAAAGTAAGACTAATTTATTTCCATCCTTTCTTGTAAGCGTCATTGTCCACTTCGCCAAATTTCTTCTCTTCCTGCATCATTTACAATTCAAACGCCTGTGTTGGAAACCAAAGCAAACAGCGTTTACCATGGTACTTATCGTTATTCGCAACGCACACGTACCCGCGCTTCTTCTTTCCATCCCTGTGCATCCATTTCTTTCCTCCGTTTACCTCCTTTCTGGAACGACCGCCAGCTACCGACACGCTGATCCCGGCGGTCCATCTCTGCCCACGAACGCTCTCGCTTGAACATATTCACAACCTTTGCATGCTCCTTTTCCTCTTGCTCCGCCTCGCGCCGCCGCTGAGCAGCTTCGCGCTTCTCGATATTCACGCGACGATTTTCGATTTCGGCAAACGCACGTAGCACAGCTTTTTCCAGAGCCTCGTCAAGATCGCCCAAATCGCTCTCTTTGATACCCTTCTTGATCTTCCGGCGACGATCCTTCTTGACCTCCAACGTTGCATTCTCGATCGTGCGAATACACATCTTCCGCCGATCTTCTTGTGTGATCAGGTTGTACGCCTTCGTCACCTCTACACCAGCAAAGCGCAATTTGACATACTACTTGGTTATATACGCGAGCAAGACCATTGTCTTTGATACCGTTGCGCACCTTCAAAAGCGTCGCGGGCTTTAGCGTTGCGGCACTTGTCCGGATGTACCAAAGTCGATATCTGCACACCACAGCTCCGAGTCAATGATCGTCATCTACCAAAGAGACACATACCACGTCCACGCTCTGCTACCTTTCGGTAATGCTGCTTCATGTCCTCCTCCGTGGCGTCCACATCCAGCATGAGCACTCGAAAAGGGTTCAAGTTGATCCACTTGAAATGCGGCTGCAGCAACCGCTCAATCTGCCCGTCGGACGTGCCAAAGTCCACAATCTTCTTCTTCTTCTCAGCTGCCTCGCTGTCGGTATCTTTCTTGATGCAATTAGCACTCTCCTCAATCTCCTGCACCTCCGACATAAACTCTGCCAACAGCGCGTCTTCGTCTTTTGGCTTCGCCTCCTTCTCCTCCTGCTCGTCTTCCTTCAGCCTCCGCTCGCTCTCTGCGGCTTGGCACTGCCGCTGCTTCTCCTCTTGCTCCACCCTCAGCCTCTCCTGCTCCTTCAGGCGCTCGCTATGCCTCTGTCCAGCTGCATACGCCTCTTCTGCCGCCTGCAGAAGCGACGAGTTCTCCGGCTCGAGTCGCAGCCCCTCGTTGAACGTCGCCCGAGCCGCGTCGAAGCGCTGCAGCGCATGCTCTGCTGCCCCTTTACGACTGTACCCTTTCCACCAATCAGGTTTGAGCTCAATGCACTTCTTGGCGTCGTGGAGAGCTTTGCCGCGCGCGTCGCCCATGGCGAGATACGCGGCCGAGCGGTTGCTGTAGTACACGGCGTTGTCCGGGTCCAGCTCGATCGCCCGCGTGTACATCTCCACTGCGTCTGCGTACCGCTGTGCTGCCAGTCGCGCGTTGCCCTCGGCCTTGAAACCCTCTGCCTGGGCCGCCCATTCCTGCTGCGAGTCGTCTTCTGCTTCCGCCATGTGTCGAGCAGCGTCGCCGTAAGTTAACAATAAATTACATGCGCCAGTCTGTGGTGGATGGTGTGGTAGACACCATGTATCGAGAGATACCGGTAGAAGGGCACGACACCGGTAGAAGCGCAGACTGTATGACATACCGTAGGTCGAAGGCAAGCACCTCCGCGCACGATCGAGCGCAGCACGTGCAAATGTCGCGGGCAAAGGTGCACTTGTTGAGGCGGCTGAGAGGAGCTGCTGCTTGCAGCTCACGCTGTGTGAGTGTTCTCGTGTACTTACGTATGTATTGGCTGTGGGCAGGAGGCAGTTGTGGTGCTGCTGGCCGCTGGCGCTTCCATGCGAGTGCCGTTGCGAGAGCGAGCGAACGCTCGTCCGAGTGACGAGAGCCAACGAGAGAGTGGGGAGACGACAGCGCACCACACGCGCTTTGCAGCAGCTGTGGCGGCTGTGGAGAACGTCGTGCAGCAAAAGGCAAGTGCGGAAAGGAATCGTGTGCTGTTGCTACGACGATTAGTAGGAGCAGAAGGATGTGGGGCTTTTCGTCCCTATACTAATAGGGCTCGTTGTAGAGATACTGTCGAGCAGTAGTCTACTCGACGTAATGCTCATGTACGTCGTGCTATGTGGGTAGCTCTTTTTCAGGCCAAAGGACGAAGTTGGCATTGTCGTCTACGGCTCGGAAGGTCCGTCGCGAGATATCTGTGGCGATGTGTGTTGAGAAAAGCGTGGAAACGACGGCAGTACTGAGTTGCAAGTGCCCTTTATCTGTTGCTGCTGCACTAGATACGGACAATCAACTGAACGAAGAGCAAGGCGACGACGAGTACCGGAATGTGCAGGTGGTGAACTCGATTGACTCTCCGACACTGCACATGGTCAAACGACTGCGAGAATTGAAGCCGTCGCAGAGAGAAGAAGTCAAGGTACGTACATGCTACTGCCGTATCAACCAGACGTTGTTACTGTGCTCAGTGACTGTGATGTGGTGCAGGTTGATATCTTGGATGGCCTGATTGTCGCGCTGGACTTGTTGTTTCGCCGGACGGACGGAAAAAAGTATGAAAAGAGGCTGATGGTCATCACCGACGCGGCTGCTAAGATCGCCGATGCAGGAGACTTGGAATCCATCGTGGCGATGATCCAGAGCATGGAAGTGAAGCTTCAAGTGATGTACGCTTTTGACAGTGTATGTGTTACAATGCGGTAAGAACCATTTTCTAATGTGTGTTGAGGCGCCAATCAGTGGACTGGACTTTCAGCATACAAGTACAAGTACCAAGCTCCACGGACATGAGGCAACGGATGCGGGGAAGACGAAAGTGGTTTGTAAGGACGAACCTGGAGCAGCACCGAAGAGTGAAGCGGAGCTTATCAAGGTACGGTTGTCCTTTAATTGCACGGCCTGTATTCGCCGACTTGAGTATGTTCGTACGTCGTGACAGGACGAGAACGAGAAGATGCTTGTGTCGATAGCAAACGAAGTCGGAGGCGAGGTGTGCTCGGTTTCCAAGCGCATGCAATTGCTTGCGCAGGGAATGAAGAAAACGGTGGCGTTGACGACAAAATTCCGAGGTGCACTAGAGTTTGGGGACACATTGGGTATTCCAGTGTACTGCTACTTGAAAACAAAAACTGCCACGCTGCCAACTCTGTCGAAAGAGTCTCAGGTCTCGTACCAAAAAGAGGCGTCGGGAAAAGTGCGGCTTGACCGACGTTACACCTCTCCACAGAATACTGATGAAGAAGTCCCTCCTGACGAACAAGTCAAAGCGTATCAGTACGGCGCAGACAAAGTTCCGTTCGGCTCAGCAGACGTAGAGTTTTTCAAGTTCCAAACGGAGAAATCGCTGAAGGCACTGGGTTTCCTGGACCGAGCACAAATCAGTCATGCGAAGTTCGTCGCGAATTGCGATGTCTTGATTGCTGAACCAGGAAAGCCACATGCAGCAACATGCTTTGCCGCGTTGGTTGCCGCAATGGTAGAGCTCGATCAAGTAATCATTGCTCGCTTTGTACCGCGAAAGAATGCTGCGCCCAAGATCGTGGCGCTGATACCTCACGCACCATCAGCTGGGCAGGATGAGAACTACTACGCGATGTGGGCTCAGCAATTGCCATACGAAGAAGACTTGCGAAACTATGAGTTTGCGCCGTTGAAAACTCGCAAGCACGCCCCGTCCGAGGAACAGCAATCGCTGGCGAATAAACTTGTCGACAGTTTAAGTGTTCGCAGCGACAAGGCTGATGAGGTAGGTGCGTGCTTCAATCCTGTCATTCGTCGGTTTTTTCACGTAGTGTCTGCGCGAGCACTGGACGAATCGGCCGGAGTTCCTGCTCTACCTGCCTACATGGCAGCGAGCCTAAAGATGGACCCTTGGCGTCAAGAGAAGATATCGACCCTCATTGAGAGCTTTGGCAACGCTTTCCAACTCAAGGAAGCAGTGAAAGAGGCAAAGGATCGCAAGAAGAAGTCATTCTGGAGCGATGTGCCGATAGCTCCAGTGAAAGAGGAAGACATCAAAGAAGAGCACGGCCAAGCAGCAGGTGACGAAGCAGGTTCTGATTTGGAGCTGGATACAGACGATCTACTGGGTAGCGGTGATGTGACCACAGTGGGGTCAATGAACCCTATTGCCGACTTTGAGGCATTGATCGGGTCCTCTCGGTCGAAAGTGAATCGTCGCCATCTCCTCACTACTGCGGTAGTTGGCGTGCAGACACAAATTGAGAAGCTCCTGACGCAAAGCGGACCAGCGTTTTTCCCCAAAGCGTTGCAGTGTCTGTCTCACTTTCGCAAACGCAGTCCCGAGATCCAATACTCTGCCCAGTTCAACGATTTCCTGACCAAGTTAAAGTCGTTCTTGCCCGAAGACTCGGATGCGTGGAAGGCCGTCAAAGACGCCAACGTCAGCTTACTGACTTCAGTTGACGATCCCGCTGTCGACGTCTCACCTGCTGAAGCACGCGCCTTTCTATATGGTGAAGAGGAAGTCGACGTGAATCTTGCTGCAGCTTCACTATCGTCGCGGATCGATGCAATGGAAGGGGATAACGACGTGTTTGCTGACATTGAGTAAGCGCAAGACGAGCAGACGAAGGGAAGTACGAGGCAGCTAACAATCAGCTCACGCGGGTCAGAGTGAGCGAGTAAATTAATGGGTGGTGTAAAACGAGCGCTCAATGCAACGACGCAGGCGCAAAGACGTCTGCCTCTACGCAGCTCCTGGAAACTCTGCTGCAGGGTCATAGAATTTCGTGGCCGCTTTTCGTCTGCTCGAGCGACGCACTGTCGTGAACCCATCTTCGTCGACCAGAGGCACGTCTGACTCGGTCTCTTCGACGATCATACCCAGAGCCTGAGCGCTGCCGTCTTCAGCAGGTCCTACGCCGTCATCCTGCGACTTGACTTTCAGAGCCTTCAGGTCGATCGAGGAGAGCGACTGCACCTGTTCGTGCATCGTTTTGATGCGGCCGTACTGCGCTTTCTTGCACTCTTCCGCCAGCACCGTGAGCAGCTCCGAGACCTCTTCGACGCTCCCGTCTTCGCAGATGAGACCGAACTCCGTCTCGACGTAGCCGCCAATGTTATCGGCCATTGCGTCCGCGAACACTGTCTTGTTGTACTTGAACACGTTGAGGACCTCATCCTGCAGGATCTCGTACTTGCGTCGCGTGTCGCCGCCGCCCCACTCGCCTTCAATGGCCATACGCAGCGCCGTCCAGCGGGCCAACGCCAGCTTCACGCCGTACTCAAAGTGCTCCCATGGCGACTTGAGCGTCCCTGCCGCAAACGCTTCCGACTGCTGACGAGCTACGGCCAGTAAGACACTGTCCGTCGCACTCATGATGAGGAGGTGTTAGGTGTTCCCTTAGCTGTTCACGTGGCTGTTGACTTGAGACGTTGTCAGCCACCCAATGGACCAATTGACCAGTGAATCTGAAATCACTGAAACAGTGGACCTGCTCACTGATTACTCACAGCTGACAGGGCGACGAGTCACGAAACGCCATGACAAGTCACAATTAACACAACCGGTCGTCGATGGAGTCGATTATAATACACTGGCAACACCCACCCACTACTCCCTGCTAGCACAGCTCTCCTCGCTCGTCTCAACGAGCACGACCTGCTTCCTACGAGCCTCCGCCGACGCTTTATAACGCACATACATTCGTACTTGGTCCGGCCAACTAATCGAGCAACGACGACGTTGCCGGTGTACCTGATTGCCAGGTCAAAGAGTCTGCACTTGCACTTCCATCTGCTCCCACATGTCGACACTTGTCAGCGGCCGCCAAAGTCGTGTCCGTCGGGCGGCACACCAACGGCTTCTGCTCCCCACGCCCGGCACGATCTAATCTTGCGTCCAGCAAAAGTGCGAGCTCCAGAGCTTCCCGGGCCATCGTCTCCGCCTCTTCGCGCGCTTCGATCGCGGCGGTAACAAGACGCTTGGCTTGTTCCAAGTGCTTGTCCTGTTCGCGTCCGTTCTTGTGCAATACGCAAATGAGCTCAATGAGCTCTAGCGGTGACGACTGCACCAGCGAGTCCGGCAGCAACGGGTCCGCCAGCTCGTCCAACTTGCTCCTGGCCGTCTCCAGCTGCGTCGCTGACATGGCGTGTTCCATGCCGAGCACCGGCGTTATGCTCATCTCCGTGACGCGGATAAACTCGCGAAACTGCTCCATCTCGCGCTTCTGAGCTTCCTCGCGCTCTCTCATTTGTTCCATCCGCTTTCGCGACCGTCGGGGATGCAGCAGCTTTTCCAGCGGATTGCCCTCTTCCTTGATACTACTCGCTGATTTGTAGCTTTCGCGGTAGCTGCCAACGCTGCCGCCCGCCTGCACACCACGGGCCGACGATCTGCCCCCGGCGCTGGTTCGGCTCATACTGTGACTCCACCGCGGATTTTCCGCGTGCTCGGACACTCGTCGCTGCACTTCTCGCTCGCACTCGAGCTCCTTCACCTGTTTGTACATGCTGATCCGCTGCTCCATCGCCTCGACGGCCTTACGAGTCCTCGTCTGAACCTCCTGTTCAATCGTGCGCTCCATGTCGGCCTGTTTCCGAGACTGGTCTGCTGCGAGGTCCTCAAGCTGGCGAAGGCGCGACTGGAATCGCCGGTACTCGTCTGCACCCAGGCGCACCACGCCAGAGACCACCCCACGAGCGCTCTCGGTATTGCTCACCTGCCACGCATCGGACTCGTCCTCGTCCTCGTCGTCACCTGAATCCTCATCTTCCATCGCCAGAACCATCTGTTGAAATGCACGACGGGTCTGCATCGCAGCGACACCGGTCTCGGTCATTCGACTGGTAGCAGATAAATTCAAGACCTCCGTGCACCGATCCGTTGGCGAAGAGACCGACGCAGCTGCAGGAACGGGCGGAAGCGAATCAGCCAATGTGATTGCTGTCGACGACTCGGAGATCCTTGCACTGAGCAAACTGTGTCCACCAGACGACGACAGCACGGACGTGTCGGTGCCGCGAAACGAGTCGACAAGGGAAATCTGCAAGCTGCTCGACCGCTCGCTCGACGTCGACTCGCTCGAGCTGGAAACCGTTGTACAAGTGCCCCGAAACGCGTCGCTGTTGACGCGGTTCTTGTACGACATGGAGCACTGCAACTGACGGTACTCGGCCAAACTCTTGCGGCTGCCACGAGACGACGACGGTCCCGTGCTCGCACTGTGGCGACTGTCGCGCATGCTCAGTTTACGGCTGCGCTGCGGCGTAACGACAGAGTCCCGCGGGTCCGACTCGTCCAGAATCTCCGTGTCGTTCTCTCCACCCATCAGATTGTCGTGGAGCGTCGGACCCGTACTACGGCGCGTCGAGGCCGACGACCGCGTGGGCGACGACAACTTGGACGGCGGCGGGGCCTGCAGCTGCGACGACGCGACGATCGTCTGCTCGGCCGTGCGATTGAGCGGCGTCGGTCGGCGCGTCTTTTGGCTCTCCGAGTGAGCGCTGTGGCTGCTGCTGCTGAGTGCCGAGGCGGCGTCAACGTGGGCGTCCGCGTGCTGCGGGTGGTGCTTGCGCAGCGAGAAGCGGTGCGACTTGAACTTGGTGGACTCGCGCCAGGAAGACCGAGCAAAGAGCGGCATGCAACTGGTCCAAAGATGTACTGCTAGCAGTAGTAGTTGCAGTCGTAGCAGTCGTAGTAGCAGTAGCAGTTAGTCGTACTGCAACAGCAAACGCGTGCAGTCTGAGCACAAGTGCTGTGGTGTGACGGCGTCTCGGGCTGTCTGGACGCGGGGCGAGTGGCGCTGCTGCTGCACGACGGGGCAAAGAAAGGCACACACGCACACACGTACGTACGCGTACGTATGTCCGCTCGTCGTCGGCGCGGGAGGGGGCAGAGGCAGCGCGACGGGCGTCGGGAGTACGGGCCGCGAGCTGCGCAGTATGGCGAATGACCCGAGTCGGCAGCAGTAGCGCTTCTAGCCGTAGAGTAGTCACTGGCTTCTGCGGTACCAGATGGGGCGCTTTCGACCAACGAGCGAGCGGGAGCCTGCGCGGGCCAATCACAAGCGGCGCACGGGGTCCGAGTCACCTAATCGCGAGGGAGGCAACGGCGGACTCGTCCGTGCACGGAGTCGGGCGAACAGAAACGTGCGACAGCGGGTGTATGTGTGTGTGTGTGTTTGTGTGTGTGTTTGTAGCACGAGTGGCGTAGGCACAGTCTGTTCGGTAGCTCGACCGGTTTTCACTTGCTCACTTGCTGTGCGGTTGTTGCACTGCAGAGCTTGGGCTGATTCGGGCGGACATGGAGATCGATGGGGTTGGGGGGCTATGGCACGGGCAACCGCCGCGAGTGGGTCCGTGAGTGGTGATGACCGATAGTCGAGCGAACTGATCGACACGCACGCACACACACACACACACTGTCGCTGTTGTTGTTCTGCGCGCTTCGAAGGGACTGCCCGATTCCCGTCTGTAGACGACATTGACACACGATTTGGCCATCGCGACGGGCGGTCGCTCGCTCGTCTCTTTTTTCGCCGTCACGTTGGACCGGTCAGAGGGGTATGGAGTGCCTGTCCGAGTACTGAATTGCGACAGCTGCGACTGCACTTTCCCTTGACGTCAGCTTGTTTTCCACAGTGCGGTATCTCGACGGTATGGTCCGCTGGAACAATAGAGCGCGTACAGGATGTCGAACGCATTCGTCACACGTCCCCCCCCCCGAGACCGTGGAACTCGGCGATTGGTCGCGCCAGCTGACGTGCGAGCGAGTAGCTACAGTCGCTGCTCCCCTGCGACCGTTCAGCGTCAAAGTCTGGTTTCGATTATAATTTACGGATTTGCGCCCTCACAAACGCAGAGAGCAAACGCAACGATGTACCAAATGTGGTCGCCAAGAGGGAGGGAGCAAAAAACCAGTCGCCGTCACACTTCTGCTGGGAACGTCCGCGTGATGCTCATGGCCGACATGGCGCAGCTATCGCAAACGCGCGACGCCTTTTTGCTCAAACTGTACGAAAGTGTCCACCGCCGTTTCGAGCAATTGCCGCAGACGAGCGACCCACATAATCTGTCCAGAGCCATCCACCGGATATTCACAACGATGACAAGTTAGCGATGCTACACAAACGACGACCTCGCGCGTCGAGAGTTAGTGACTCTCTCTCTCTCTGACAACGAACCGTACCTGCAATGGTGACGTGGCCGGTAGACGGCGAAGGTGTGCATACAAATGGTACAGACGTTCGAGACCTTGTCGAACATAAAAATTGGGGCTAGCGTCGCCGTCTTGAGGCTCCGACGACGTAGAGCCAGCTCGTCTCCCCCGGAGATGCAATGCGTCAGCGCTCGCACCCACTCATTTCTCTCCGTTAGAGACAGGGCTTCAAACACGTACGTACTCTGCGCGCGCATCTGTTACAGATCAAAACGTGCCGTGAGTGAACAACTACAAAAATGATTGACAACGAACATGATGCTGTCGACTCACTGCGTCCGTCGGAAGCTGCAGGCGGAAGCACGTCTCGCTCTTGGCAGGAGCCACCTTGCACACATCAATGGGAATCGTCTCCTCAGGTTGCGCAGACTTGAAAGTGGAGCCCAACGAAATGGCTTGTAGTGTCAGCGTGATCCAGAGACGTCGACATTTCTTGCCACTATTGCTGCTTGTCATTGCGTGGGGTCGCGCGCTATCGTCACCGGGACTACTCACTACAGCGCCGTCGAAAACGTTTAGCCAGCCATTTTTGATCGCGAAGCCTCCTTCCAACTCATATCCGCTGGACGAATCGCCGTCATTGTCCGTTAAAAGCTCCGAGCGAAGGCTTGTACGTCGCGGATGGGTTTTGCCGCTGAGATTCCGGTCAATGCAATCGCGAATGTCGGTCGTCCATCTGACCTTGTCTTCCTCTGACTCGGTAAGCAAGATGAACGATTTGAGAGGGGAATAGAAACAAAAGGCGCTAGAGGGTCAGCAGCAAGCGAGTCATCATGGTGAGAACGTGTGCGTCAACAGCTTTACGGAACATAAAGTGGGCCGACTTACTTGTTCGAGTTCACGACAGTCGTTATGACACCCGGCATCGTCCCGGTATCATCCGCTACCTTGCACTCCCACAGATCAAGCAGGTGGAATTTCTTCTTGTGTAATCCGCCTTGTCGTCCATACACCATTGCTACATCGACCGCACGAACCACACATCGGGTCAATGAGTCATCACCAAAGCGTCATGATAATCGACGACTTACCGTCCTCCAGCAGCACGAAGTAGTATGTTTGCACCTTGCTGCGGCACACTTTACGCAGCATGCCGTCTCGAATAAAGTGTCGGCCGGAGAGATTCATCCCCAACTTTGCGCTCACCGTCGCAAGAGTGCGCGCGTTCTCGCGTATCTCGCTTATTTCCTCGATCTTGCTTGCCACGCGATCCACACTGTGAATCGCCGACTGCAACGGTACAAAGTCGACGTGCTCGGGTGGGGTGAATTCCAGCAGCTCTTTGAGAAGCATCTTGTAGCGGGGAATTCGCTCCACGGGCATGTTCAGGTAGCGTCGTAAACGGTTTACGTCAGCCTCGGGAGGCAGCTCACGCAAGAATCCGGCAAATTGGGGCGACTCCAGTGCAGACAGTGCCGCGCTATGACGACTTGCATACGAGGTGTACAACTGCATCAGCGGAGCGTACGCGTGGAATATGGCTCCGGTTCGATGTACCCTTACGCCGGAAAAATTAGCTGTCTCGCCTTGACCTGGACCATTTCCGAGATGCGATGGGAGTGGTGATGTGGAGCTGGTTTCTTCTAGGTGGCGCGATAAATGGTCCAGCAGCTGCTGGTTAAGCGTGTAGATTTGATCTACACTGCTGAAAAAGATGGACAGATCCGCGTCCATAACCAGCATCTTGAGTGTGGAAGTCGCTGACAAAGACGATGACGCTGAGGTTGAAGCTACGCTGAAGGAGGCGTTCAGCGCTGTGTGCAAACTGTTGCTGCTACCACCTCTTCGTGCGAATCTAGCTCCAACACTTCCATTGCTCACTGCGCGATAATGGTCCCGTTTCGGAGTAGCTGCTCGAGCAGAAGTACTCAGGGGTCCACCAAGCACGGGACGAAGGGATCTTCTGCGCTTGCTTTGGCGGCGTCGATGCATTTGCCGGCCTTCAAGCTGCCGCAGCAGCAGAGGCTGAACGAACAAGCGTATACACTCGCTTAAGCATTGGACGTAGCTTTCTTCGGAGCGAATGATCTCCTTCAAAATTTGGCGGCGGCGGCGCTCTAGCAAATATGCGTCGCGATCTTTTCCTGCAGCGTGGGCAAGTTCCATTGATATCTCGGCGTCCGTGGCATGGCCATGATCAAGAGACGACAAACGTCGCCTACCAATTGAGCTGACAAAACTGGATGTTGACATCGCCGGCATCGTAGCTTGCACACTACTTCGAGGCACACTGATGCTCAAGCTTAGAATACCGCTCTGAGTGAGTGTGCCTGGAAATTCTGTGACGCGAGAACGCCGCATGCGATGCAGTGCCTTGTCCGCTGAACTTTGAACTGCAACACGCCATGCCACTTCTTCCTGGACGGTCGAAGCACACAAGACCCACTCGTTTTCAGGTATAGCCGCAGGCGTCGGACTCGGCGACGAGGAAGGTGCGGGATGCACCGGTGACGGCGAGACCATTAAAGCAGCGGTTTCACATGAAGTATTCGGACTTTCGGAAACGATTGCGTGGTCACGTCGACGGGGTACACCAAAGCAATTGGCAGCTTGTCGGAACGGGGACACCTTGCTCCTTGATCGATTGGCTGCTCGAATCAAGCGGCTTGGGCTTACTTTGCACTGCCTCGTGTCACTTCCCATCATCGATCGAGACTCATCGTACTCGGTCGTCGAAATTTGGAAGCAAAAGCGATTTTTGTGCGCCCGGCTATCGGATCGATGGATCACAATGGCACCAGCAACTGAAAGCTCATCAGTGCAGCGTCGGAATGTTCTCGAGTTCACTGGGTCTCCACCAGTCGCCAACTCTCTGCTTTCAGAGCCTTTAGCATTCCCATTCTGACCAGATGACGCAGCACCAATTGGTGTTGCTTCTAGCAAAAACTGTTTGAGTACACCTGCTCGAAGCTCGTAGTAGTACTCACTCCACTTGTTTAGGCGCCGACGGCGCAGCACACCACGAAACTCCACAACCCTCGACAGCCACTGTAGTGCTATTTGGCGCACAAGGTCAAGGACCTTAAAGCAAGGGCTGCATACGCGTTCAGCACGCGACGATTCACCAACAAATAATGCTGCACGTCCAGTAGAGCAAGTGTCACACACCACCGTTCCACACCGGCGGCAGTGATGCCTTCTTCGATAGTATGCACGGAAAGACGCATGGCAAATGTTGCATGATTCAGCAACATCGTCAGGAACCCAAAGGGCTGCTGCGTCGGCAGGTCCATCGCACGACTCGAAATCGGTGCCGTCGCCGTCACGATCTTCATCGATTCTAGCTTGCTTTTTTCTCTGGGCTTCTATTGCAGCACTCGAAATGGCTTCGACCCACTCACGCTGCAACTCAGAGCTCTCTGCGAACAAGATGAATGTTTTCTCTCTGCTGGTCACGACAAAGCCACAGTCTTTGCTAGCACGGCGTCGTGACTGCTGATCCAAAAGTGCTTGAACAGATGTGGGTAGGTCGGTCTTGACGCGGACAGCTTTCGAATGTAAGTGCACAATCCGCCGCACGCGGTAGCCGCCGGTGATTAGAACGCCACTGTACAGGAGAATGTCATTGAAGAGATGTATCATGACTTCTTCCTGTCGCTTTGTTGACATCTTGGTAAGCTTGCCTGACTTCAGCAATCTCCGGTCAGCTGTAAATAACGAAAGCTGACCCGAGAACTTTTGCTGGGCTTGCAGCACGATCTCAAGGTTTTCCTGACGCCCCACAATCTCGTTGATAAGTGATGCCGCACTGCGTATCCGGTTCACTGCCTCTTTCAGGAATGCAGCGTCGGGGTGTTCTGGCGGCGTGAACTCGCATAGACGCTCCAGAAGCAGTTTGTACCGCGGAATGCGCTGGATTGGCATAATCAACAAGCTATCAAACGGCTTCAAGGAGCCGCTCTTTTCTCGACAGGTTTCTAAGAACTTCGAAAATCCCAAACGAGCATCGCGTCCGAAATTCTGCAACAGTGCAGCCACTTCTTCGTAATCCTTGGCGTATCCTCCATAGAGCTTGAACAAGGGTGCGTACCGACAAAAGACCGCGCCCACGCCCTCTGCTTCGCATTGCACGGCAACTGAGACGGGACTCGCGCCACGTTTCGGGCCATGTCGACTTGCAGTTGTTTGCTTCGTTCCACTTGGTCGTTTTTCCAGAGCCGCAGCAGCCAGCGGACGGTCGCCAATTGCCTGGAGGTCCGCCAAGAGCTTGGAATTGAGCATCACGAGATGGCGCAAGTTGTTGAAAAACACGGCAATCTGCGCGTCGTCCATGATCGGATGGGCCTTTTCTTCGAGCGCCACAATGTAGTGGTCGTTCAGCGCGCGGATGTCGCTCACATAGCTCTTCTCCGTCTCGCAGATCTCTTCCACCACACGGGCGCGCAGTCGGAACTGCTTTGCCGCTTCAACGTCCACCACAGTCGCCCCAGTGGCTGCCGTCTTCTTCCCTCCCTCTCCGTCTCCACCACTTTCGCGATCAGCTCCAGCCTCTACTGCAATCGCTGCTCGCTTCTTCTCCTGCTCCGCCTCCTGCTCCGCTTCCTCCTGCGCTCCTGACATCTGTGGCCTCCAGGCAGCCCCAGTCGCAAGATCCTTCGGGTCAAACAACACGACGCCAGAGCTCAGCGCCGGAGCCTTCGACGGGACGTCCGCGCGCGGCCGCAAGGCACCGGTGGACACGACGAGCGGCGGCCGCTGCCTCGACAAGTTGCTGCTCATGCGCGGGAACGTGCGAGAATGAACGCGCGCGCGCCTTTCCGACGGTCCGGTCGGGCGGCTGCACTTTGATCTATTAGTTGCGACAGGATGTTGGCCCAGAGAGCCATTGGCCGTTAGCGTCGGCGGCCAATGCGACGGTCGTCCCTGCGGGTGCGACCAGCGGACGAAATAGGGTGCGGTATTCACTTCCACAGGAACATCGAAGCTCCAGACGACGTTGAAGTTTGTCGCCCGCGACGTTAACGAAAAACGAGCGCGCGTTTCGAACTTTGTATCGTCGTTACAGGATCGATCCGACCTGTGAGCAAAGCCGAAAAAGCGGACGATATTGTGGGAAAAGACCGACTGCGTCGCTCGGATCGGGTCGGGAACCCACCCACACCCGAGCGACGACGACCGGCGTAATCGACCCCACTGGTACCGTCCCGCGAAATGGCTACACGTCTCGAGCCCCTCACGTGTTATTCGACTCGCGAAAAAAGAAAAGAGTCGGAACAAAGTGTCGCTCACGGAACATTAGTTGCCTGTCCTGCGATGGTGCCAGCGCCGCACTTGACGTGCGACAGGAGCAGTGGCGCCGGCACGTGTGGGCGCACGAGGAGCCGGGCGAGCGAGTCAGACGTGCGGGCGAAAAGGTGAGGCGACGTCACGCGGGTTTTCGGGCCACTTCCGGTGGCGTGTGGTCATTCGAATGTCACACAAGAGTTACGTCGAGACCTGCGAGACGCAGAGTCTAAGAAGAAGGACCACCTGAACACGACCGACGCATCAGACCGACCACAACTTGTGTCAAAGCCCTGTTCAGCTTACCCACTCAGTGCAACGCGCTCGTGTTCGTGCACTTCCTCCACTACTCACACGTTTGCAGCAACGAGCCAAAGGTTGCTAGCCGTGACGCGTGAAGACCTCCTTGCTCGCTCTATTCGATCTTAGTAGACTTCTGGACGCGTCTCTCCGCAAGGCGCTTGAGCGTCAAGTGGCCAAACCAAAAGTTCACAAAGCCCAGCACACTCAGGTAACCCAACGTCCGGAACATGGTCAGCTTGAGCCAGTAGCAGCCGAAAAGCGCCAAGATGCAGCCCAACGACGCCAGGAACACGCAGCCATAGGCGAAGACCGAGCTTTCGAACAAGCGCTTGACGTTGAGGCCGAGGCGCGCCACGAACAGCATGAAAAACGCTAGAGGAGCTAGCACAGCACCCGTGAAGAGCAGGGACACGGTCATGGACGGACGGGGGTCCTCTTGACGCATGATGTGCTGGATCTCCGGCAGCGCCTTCAATGTCGTGTCACTCTCATGCTGCAGAGGCTTTTTGTAGAGTGGCGACGGCGTCTCAGGTGGCGCCGCACCGAGCTGCAGCTCCACGTGGCCCAGGTCCCAGACGATCGCCTTCTCGAACGCAGACGCGCCCAAAATAAGCTCCACGTGGTGTTTGCCCGAGTGGTAGCCAAACTTCTTACTCAGCGCCGCGAACTGCAGAGTCGTGCTGTGGATGTGAGCCGCGTCGGCCGTCAGCACAAAGTACGTGTCGGTCGCTGTCGAAGTGTGCGTAAAACGGAGGAACGCCTGGTGCGCCATGATCGGGCTCTTGTCGTGTGTCTGCTGGAGCTTCACCTTCATCTTGAGCGTGCTATCAGCTGCAGCATTGTACTTCTGGCCTGTGAGCTTGTCGCCCAGCTGGAGCGTCTCGCCATTCACGCTGGCACTTGCCACGCCCACAGACGTCGTCACCTTGAGCTGGAGCACCTGGCGCGTGCTTTGCTTCGTGTCCTCGTCCACGGCCGATACCTTGAGCTTGTACATACCCGCCTTGAGCTTCTCGTCGCCGGTCAGCTTCGTCACGAACTTGCTCCCGTCTCCCTCGAGCGTCTACGTGCATATTGTCCCTCTGTCAATGCCCCACCCCCTCGTCCACTGCCACATCGTTCTACCAAAGTTTGTATCGACAGCCAACGCACCAGTCCCGACAGTACCGTAGCACCCGACGTGTCCACCAGCGTCTCGAGCGCCAACTGCTTGAACTTGGGCTGCTTCGGCGTCACCACAACGGCCACTTCCATCGCCCCCGCCGTCAGCGCCACTCGTGAGGATACGAGCTTCATGTCCACATCCAGTGCGGCGTCCACAGGCAGCGACAGGGACAGCAGCGCGGCGCAACACGCGACCAGCAGCAGTCGGCTTGAGCTCGTCATGGTCGAGTCCTTTTGGCGAATAGAGACCGCGTGGCAGTCTTGAGCTGGATCCCTGTATCGCAATGATTGTATCTAGCTGATACATGGCGCCAATCACACGAGCGCCCATCATTTCCGACACTTGTGCAAGTGGATAAACCTCTCGAGGTTTTTTTCTCTCGATCGTACTTATGCTAGACATTTCGTGGCCGTGGCATGGCTACATTAACTTCAACGTCCGCCCGACGCCATTTACTGCTTGTATGAGACGTACTCGTCGATCCACGCATGTATCATCTTGACCTCAGTCTCGCGTGCAGCAACGATGGATGGAGGATCGTCCGGGTGACTGAAGAACAGGTCCACGTGATGGGCACCCTCGGCAATGTCCACGATCGTCACCTTTGCGTCCTCAGGGGCGTGCAGCACGCCGGCGCTGCTCCACGGGTCCAGCTGGCCATTGCTGAATACGATGTTGGATGCTGACCGCAGCATGGAATCGCCGTAACGCACGCGAATGCCATACGGATCGGGCGTCCTGTGCCAGTCCCGCTGACAGTCTTCACGAATGTCCTCGAACGTGGTACTGCGCGGCCAAAACATATCCGTCCTGCCGTTCGTGCTGAAGTACGTTTCCTGTGGCAGCATCTCGGTGCAGTACTGGTAGTCCCAAATACCATCGTAGTCCCATTGCGTGGGAATCGTAAAACACGTCACGTCTTTCGTGGCATTATAAAACACATTGGCAGCGTCGCGCAGCGCCTCCAGCAGCGTCGTATTCGTCACACTTTCGTTCGGTTGTAACGATGTCGAGGAAACGTCGCCGGCAAGATGCGAGCAAGCTTCACGAACAGGCCAAGCTGGAAGCTCTACAGCGCCTTCCGTAAGGTAGCTGGACGGATACGGGAAATTCCCCATGGCCATAGTGTCAAAGGCGAACAACACCGACATTGCAAGGTCGACCCCTTGCTCCTTGTGCGTTAGCGGCTGACACAACCTGAACAATGAACTCAGCGTTGCACGTCCACTCTCAGTCTTGGCTAGCTCAAACAGTTGTGGCCATGCCTGTTGGGCGTTGGGTACACAGTTTTTCGCTGATCCTGCAGCAGGTGATGCGTCCCGTGTCACCACTTGCCAGTACTTTTGGCCGTCAAAGTTTGGATAGCCATCGAAGCCGTAAATGGGAGCAGAAGCCGCGATGGAGCCTGCGACGATGGATGGATACGTCATACGGAACCATGCTGCAAGCATGCCTCCATAGCTTCCTCCAAACGCGATAACAGGGTGATCGAAAGCGTCATGTTTCTTCTGCAAATGATAGATCAGCTCCGCATAGTCGGCAAGTGCCTGGTCATGCGTGAGGTAGGCCAGGTGTTGCATGTAGTCGTCTCCGAAGGGAAAGCTTTTGCCGTAATAACGGTGTTCAGCAAACACGACGAGCGCTTTGAAAGTCTGTGCGTTTTCCCACATCAGTCCCGTGTGGTTGGCGTAGAGCGTCACGTCCCCTTCATTGCCCGTGTAAAAGAACACGGGCGCCATCTTGTCCTTTGGATCCCAGAACTGCGTGTTCAACAGATATCTCTGCTTATAAGTCGCAGGTAAGTTACTGGGCGTCGCATTGCTCTTCACGGCATCGCCTGTCTCGGCTGCGAGCCACGAAAAGTGGTCAATCCGCTGCGTGATCCACATCTCCGTGCAATTGCGCGCATCAGCGTAAACGTGGCGCCCAGTCGATGGAGCGACAAAGTTCGTCGTGCTCAGGGAACTGGGGCGATAGTCAGCTGTGCTCACGAGACGCTGCGTGTGGATCAGCACGAACACACTCAGGAGCAGCGAGAGTCCGCCAACGGCCACGACACTGGCTGGAGCATAATTTGATACTGACAACAGGGAACGGCGTCACAAGTTGTGCAAAAGACCACCGAGAGCAGAAACAAATGGCAGTCCGTACGAGTGTTGTAGATGGTCTCGTACGACTGCGGCACGTTGAGACTTTGCCAGTGGTTGACGCGCACGCGGCTGGAGCTGGACGTCGAGCCCACGGACGACCCAACAGACTGCGCCAGTAGCGGTCGCGTCTTGTCCGAGTCCGAGCGCGGCTCAGACGCCCAAGTGCCAGCTCCCCGTCCACGCGCGACCATATGAGTTAGCAGTGGATCTCGGGGTCTGAGTTCGCGTGAAGTAGTTCGTAGCTGCTGGGAATGTGTCATCGGCGGGACTTCGCTGGCGCTACTTCTCACGAGCGGAGGTCGAAAATAAGGTGTCCACATCATTGTTGGCCCCGCGTCAAACCCCATCGCAACAAGAGCGTGTTGTGTCGCCTCACCCTCCGCTGTGACGAGGCTCTCGGCCTGTAGCTATGCACTACAAGACGCACGTGCCGACGCGGTTCTCTGTCGACGACCAAATGGCAGAGGTACGTGAGCAAAACCCGAAGAACTGAAGCGATCACGACGTTGCAGTCGTGCAAATCTGGAATAGATACGAACAATAGCCATTGAGAGAGATGGATAACCACTGGATCACTGTGTATACTTCTCTAGGCGCTGGCGTCGCAGGAACTCATGGGAACGCGTCAGCGGAAGCACTTTCTCAAGCTCTTCCGCAAGTATTCCAAGGTGAAGAAGGCGTCGATCGACTGGTGCGACACAGCAGGGGGTGTAGTGACTGTGAAGGAAGAGAGGGGCTGACGGAGTCGATGGAGACTGTTGTGGCTGTAGGAACGCGGTCAAGCCACCGCCAAAAGGCATGCTGACCAACAATACGTCGGTGGAGAGCTGTCCGAACGACATGAACCTCCGGCACGAGTTGCTGGATAAGTTGGTATGGCTGCTGCAGTGCTGCAGATATCAAAAGGTGGCAATCTCACGAGGAGTGGTATTAATCGTGTGTGTATGCAGGTCATTTTGAAGCTGAATGGCGGTCTAGGCACGACGTTGGGATGCGAGGGACCCAAGAGCGCGATCGAAGTGCGGCAGGACTTGTCGTTTCTTGACCTGACGGTGCGCCAAGTGGAGGTACGCTTTGTTCTGAGCGAGCTGGGGCAATAAATGAATGCGAGTGAAGCTGACGTGTGGACATAACAGTACTTGAACAGCGTCTACGGAGTCGATGTGCCGCTTGTGCTCATGAACTCGTTCAACACGCATGAGGAGACGGTGCGCATCATTCGAAAGTATCGCATGCACAACCTTAGCATTCATACGTTCAATCAAAGCTGCTACCCTCTCATCGTCAAAGAGACGATGTTGCCGTTGCCCAACACGAAGTATGATCGCTCGACGCGAGACAAGTGGTTTCCACCGGGTCATGGTGACGTCTACAATGCACTGTTTGAGTCTGGATTGTTGGAGAATCTGATCAATCAAGGCAAGGAGTACATCTTCATTTCAAACGTCGACAATCTTGGCGCGACTGTCAACCTAGATATGCTCTACTACATGATCAACGAGGACTCTGAGTTTGTCATGGAGGTGACCGAAAAGACCCGTGCTGATGTCCAGGGAGGAACACTCGTGAGCTATAAGGACAAGCCTCACCTCTTGGAAGCAAGTCAGGTGCCGCCGGAGCACATGGACGATTTCCGTGCCATCAACAAGTTTGAGACTTTCAATACGAACAATCTCTGGGTGAATTTGCGCGCGATTCAGAGGCTCGTCGCGCAAGATCTCATCGACATTGAGCCGCTTGTTACCTTCCGTACTGTAAAGAACCATAAAGTTGTACAATTGGAAACTGCGGCAGGTGAGGCGATCCATCTATTCAAGAACTTCATCGGGTTGAAGGTGTCACGCTCGCGTTTCTTGCCTGTGAAATCGTCGTCGGATCTTTTCCTTGTTCAGTCGAATCTGTACCAGATCAAGCACGGGAGTCTAGTGATGAACCCGGCACGCATCACGCCTACTATTCCGATCGTGAAGCTTGGACTGGAGTTTCAAAGCGTGAAGGAGTATCTAGCACGTTTCGACCACGGCATTCCCGACATCACGGAGCTAGACCACCTCACGGTCGCCGGCGATGTCAAGTTCGGCTCTAACATTAAACTCAAGGTAAGGATCGATCGAGGTCTTGGAGGCGCGGTAGTTGCTCTTGTTCGTCACGCTCATTCTTGTGTGTTGTTGGTTACAGGGAACGGTGATTCTCGTCGCAAACGAGGGCGCTCATATTGACCTACCCGAAGGAACTGTGCTAGAAAACAAGGTGGTGACAGGCAACTTGCGTATCTTGGATCACTGAGCGCGCACCATCGAGTTCACGTAAGCTCAAACACGGGTTCGCATGCGTCGTCGTTGCCCGAGTGAGTTAGCTGAAAAGACCGAAAGAATACATGCATTTCCTGTTTTACATACCAAACGCGACGTCACACACAAGGCGAAAGCTCCCGATAGAGACAATGTACCCAGCGTGTTGCAGTGCAAATAAAATGCCTAATAGACGGAGACGACATGCTTGCAAATCGGGCACTGGCGGTGGCACATGAGCCATTGGTCAATGCACTCGCGGTGGTAGAAGTGCAGGCACGGAAGAGCGCGCACTTCCTCCCCTGCCTTGAATCCATCACAGCACACCGCACATACCGTGTTGCTGACTTCGCTATCGACTCCCGACTGATTGCCGTCTGCAAGTTGCTCACGAAGTCGGTACTTGAAGGTTGGCAAGGTGATGATCTGTGGGTACGGAAGACCGTCCCAGCTCTCCGTCTACATCACACATACCACCAACAGAAGAGTCAACTAGAAGCAGCACACATCGAAGCCCAAGAAGAGAATGAATGCAACGCACGTCGACTTGTTGTGAGCGGAGTTCATTGATGCGACGGAGCAACGACAGAAAACGCAGCTTGCCCTGCCCCTCATTTGCATCATGGCTTTTCTCATACGCACGCGCCAACAACGACGATGAAGCTTTCAGCATATCGAAGTGACGACGAATGAGCGAGAAGAGCTTGTTCTCACTTTCCGCAGCTTCAGCATTCTCTCCTGATTCCTGAGCGAGCATTCTGCGGGTAGGAGGGACGGATCCGAGCAGGTGCGTCAGTGCCGTGTTCGCCACGCTACAAGTAAACACCACCACATATCCACCATCAGCACCAACACCATCACATTTGTGCTAGTAAGAGCGACCAAAAACCATCAACAGCACCCCATATGGACGTACTGGAGTACGCTACACGAGCTAACTCCAGTCTCCGCTTCACCAGACGATTGGCGCAGAGAGCGTATGAACGCCAAGTCCAGCCCGCCATTCACGGGCGGCACATTCTGCGAACTGTTTGTGGCCGCCTCGTCAATGTCGGCAGCAGCAATAGAGATCAATCCAGCAGGCGACAAACGTGCGTTCACGGGCGACGAGCTCATGTCTGCGACTCCCAGACCCGCTACATCGTCCAGCGCCATACCGTCCGTTCCCAGCAGAGCTGTCAATGGCGACAACAGTCCGCGGAAAGCACAGCGCCGACTGTCCTGCTCGTCCCCGACCAGAGCCACAGCAGGCGCTAGTACGCCGTTCGTCTTCTTTCCTCCTTCGTCGAACGCGTCGACTTCTTCGTCCATAGCGCGCGCAATCTCCTGGGAACTGACAGTGTCTTCCTGCCAGTAACTCGAAGCCTGAGGATCAACACGGGGCTGGCGAACACACAGAGAACGAGCAGTTAGCTGCAAAAGGCAGAGACTGTGTGCACCGATGCAAAGGTGTCGACTGCAGATGCGTACGTGCAGAGCTTGGGGCATACGCGACCCGTAGAGCGACCGGAGAAACATTGCGTTGATGTGCTTCGCACGCGTCTCCGACTTGTCGCTGACTTTTTCTTCTTTGTGTGTCCATCTGACAGACAAACAGACGAACGAGAGCCATTGTCTCGGCTTTGAGCAAATATCGCAAAAACGTTATTGGCCGAGACGATGGCTTTGAGCCCAGTTCTCAAAAATATTATATTAAATCCATCATACATTTACTGTTTTCAGCAAATATACCAATATTGTATTTTTCAATATTAATTCAAATGAAAACATGATACTAAATTGCAAAAAAACTATTTCTTCGTACGTTTATGTAAAGTGTAAGGAATCGAGACGGTCCGTCAGGCCAATGAGTTAATAGTCGCTCGCTTCAAGTCGCACACGTGGAGCTATTTGACACGACCAAGTACAATACAAGAAACAAAACTTGAGCAAGAGATGAGTACTCACATATAATACTTGTAATGTATAGACAAGATAATAGCCCCACTGATGCATATCTTACTTTGTATATGAGAGGCACGTAGCACAATAATCGCCAATTACCGAGATATTGCTTAGTAGTATTGTTTCCTGCAAGGATAAAACAAAATTTATGCACCAAAAACTTAGTCATTACATACATGTAACATAGCTGTCTGCTTGCATGCAAACAGACTTCTGCCTGTAGTCTCGCAATGGATATCAGCGTTTAATTTTCAATTTCCTTGTCCTTTTAGCATCATTCAAATTACCATAATACCACATTCCGTCCGAAACTCATGACGACGCTTTGGTACACGGTTTGTATCGATATGCTTCGCAGTTGCACATCATCTAGACGCCATAGTCGAATTGCATACAAAACCTGATTGCAGACCACAGTTGGTCGGCTACGTGTGCGCATAGCAAACTTGGTTGGTCGGCTGAATGTTTGGTAAACTGCAACGGCAAGACGAAGAAAAAGTATGCTGTGTGATACACGCAAGGGCACTTGCACTCGGTTGAGCTTAGTTGCTCCTTGGCTGTAATCGCTTTTGGTCTTGTATCGCATGTCCCCATTTAGCTGCTATTTATGTGATCAGCAACAGCTAAATGTGTTCATCGCCGTCATTTTCACCGTCGGAGGTGCGAAGGCACAAAAAGTGATTGTACTCTGTGTAATTAGTAAGTGTTAAGCAGGGACATCGACACCACAGGGCGAGTAACCATTTGTTGCCTGAAGGGTACGATACAGAGACGGTACACTCTAACATATTGATATTTGACTCAAAAGACATGATCACCTTAGTATTTGAGCAGCACAGTATACTGTAGTGCCATGTATTGTGCAGATTCTTGGAGAAGTTGGTGTCTCCCCGCTTGCACAAAATGCGGGTAATCGCGTCATTGAGAGTTTGTATTGGAAGGAAAAGCTTCTGCTGGTCGACATTTCTCGCAAGAAAAATTCAAGCATTGAACGAATACGTATAGTTGATACGAAACGACGCAACTACCGGTAATGCCAATGGCGCTGTCCATTTGCAATGGCGTCTAGGTGCATATCAACGACAAAACTCACGTTAGGGCAGCTTTGCTGTTATCGGTAAGTGACGATAATTACTTTTATTCATGCAGTCTCAGTAATCCTTTTGGACGGGTTCCAAATGAACAGAATGTAGTCAACTATGATATTATTTGCACTATCTACATAGTTCCTAATAATCTCAAACTACATGTAAGCCTACTGCAGTCATTGGTTTCGACTAACTTTTCTCCCCCTTTGTTTGAACGGCTCACCCCCGTAGCCTCAGCGTCTATTCACATGCAATCGAAGTATGTGCGTATCATATGATGATCTTGCCGATGATAATGTCCAACAATAATTTAACATACGCTTCCGATCTTGTTTCTCCTCTATTTTTCATACAAACTCTGCCGCGTCTTCACCGCCATATGCCCTCAAATACGCACTCTGGACAGTCCAACATACCTAAACTAGGTTGATAAATTCTTACGTATGGGGTACACTTTGGCCTCATCGATCTCAAACCCTGGTTCTTGAGAAGCGTCTTCGAATGCTGCTCAAAACTACAACCGCGCGCGACACATCATTTCTGTCGTTACATCCTCTTTTGCAAGAATAGTTAGTATTTGATGGCCTCAATTTGCTGGCTTCCCTTTTGTACAACAAAAAAGTAAATTAAATACAACCTATCAAATATCGTGGATGCGCAATGTAACAAGGTGAAGCCCGGAAGATGTCAATGACACAAAATCGATCAAAAGGAATTTTACCACAATTCACAGTGGTTCCGATTCTTACCTTTCTAAGTAAATTTCGTATAAGTGTCATAGTTGACTGTAAAAATCGGTACTGCCTTACTCGTTAGTAGGTTCAGACCATTTTACTAACCAATTAAAATACAAATCGCTGCTAGACGCGCGCAATGGGCGTTGAGCGGGTTGCTAAATTTGACCTTTGTACTACTTAGTATAAGTTATATCAAAGATATGAAAATATAGACGCTTTAACTATCGATCATTTACATCTTATTAGTATTCTCACTGAGCGTGTCCACATACTATCTTATCGTTTCCGCTGCAGGTATGTGTACGTAAAGACACCAGCCTACGGTTTCGTCAGTGTAGGTAGCTTGTGCTGTATCGGTGCACGCGTCCGGTTACTCTGTATAAAGTGTTTGCTTGAACATATTGTATGTGTCATTAAATTGTGATTTAGGAGGTGGGTGTTGTCAGCAATCTTGATTATGGATACGAAACCCTTATAACTGTGCTCTGCTTCAGCACTACTACCGGCTGTGCTGCATCACGCTCCGATGCAATCCATGAGTCTGCGGACCGATGTCTCGTACCCAATAGAGTCAGCGACGCACGGAGTAGGATCTGTCAGCTTCGTACTTTGCCGTCACTTCGATTGTTTAGGCGACCTGGCGTCATAACTGGACATACATCCAGCGCACAGTGCGCACACTGGATCGGACAATATGTATGCACCCTCGGATACTTGTTACAATTACTCTATACTCGACGCAGTCTCACATGTTTTAGCTGTAACCTGGTGGCGCGCTTGAGTTTTGTAACTATTTGGCATGTACTCAGACTTATCGATTGTTGACTACGGACCATACAACGTATGACTTCAATTCTTTTCGAGCTTGGTTGTCGTGTAATGTATCGGGCCTGGGCAATGATGGTGTCAAGTATGCACTTTAACGACGGGCAGTTACTGAAGCGATTCGTGTTCGTCCTCACTAAGAATAACGTGGATGAGAAACATCCCTAGATTTGAGTGCAATGCATGATCCAAAAACTGCGTTTCGGATGTCGTGATTGCTGCGTTTATTGCCTGCAATACAAAGTCGTTGTTCCTCACGCGTTGCTACTCACCAAATACCCGACAGTGATAGCAACTTCTCGTCGCACGGCAATGGACACAACTATCGGGACATTCTTGCCTAGATTGCAGAACGAAAGGTCCAGGCTCGAAGGCCAAATTGCAGTAGCCATCGCAGCAAGATGCTTGATGGAATTCGTGTCACTCATCGTTTGCTATAGAACTCCATGCCTCTTATCCGTCGACTCGTCGAGACACGCTTTACATCGGTCGAGCTGACAATAGATATCGATTGCCGTGAAATGAAGATCGATCCAAGAGGGTCGACGCGTTGTTGGCTCAAGTTAAGCCGCAACAACAAATTCAGCCAAGACGTGTATCCTCAATTGACTTTCACTTGTCAGTGTGTCTATGTGATAGAGCTGAACCGTTTATGAGCAATTTGCTTGCGTACGATCGCAACCAACTTCACGGCGCACATTCTATAGTTCACCCGCAATGCGTGGATGTTGCTGCATCAGAGGTGTGCTGCCATGACATGCAGCGTCGACCCACGAGTAGTTTGAAAATCACAAATAAGTATAGTTGGTCAGAATACATAGTACACACGGTACTGTTGTACTCACTGCACCTTCATTCGTCTCGCGAGCCGTCATCATGCCATTGCAAGTCAAACGGTATGATCGTGCACAAAAGCTGTCACCGTTTAAGAACAGCGGCACTTTTGTACGTAAGGACAATGAAAGTGTACAACTTGATAGCTAGCTTATCAATTCTATACGACTAGTGCGGTGCTAACATTGCTGGGGCCACGTAAGCTGTCGCTTCTCTGCTCTCCGCAGCTTCGAATGCCGCTGCTTCCTGTAGTCGTTTCGAGTCCATGCGGCTGTAGCCTTTGACCAGTCCATGAAAAGCCTTCACCCATTGCGGAGGACTCAGCAACTCAGAGCGTCCACAGCTATCCTTGCTGCCATGAGGCGAGAATGAGAAGAGCAGGTGGAGATACTTCTGCAGGTACTGATTGAGCCGCTGATATCCCATGTTGTCGTCTGCGGGTGGTTGCAGTAGCAAATTATTCTTCAGCATGTCGTCGGCACTGATACCCGAGTCGAGCGCGTCCAAGAGACTCTCAAGTTGCGCCTCCGCACGTCCATCGGCTGTGGCTGTACGTCGAGACACCACAACGACGCAGTGCGTCGGGTCCAAGTTGAACACCCGGCGTTCCTTGCTTAGATTCGCCACACTCAGTGCATCGCGCATGCGAAACGACCCGACAGTGCTACCGCGCAATGACCGAAACAGATTCGTCAAGCGCGCCTCGTGTGCTTTACAGTACGACACTGTCGCCGAGCGCGAGGGGCCAGACCCTTGTGCCGTGATCGAGGCCGACACAATCTCGTCTGGTGCCGGGACAACGTACACTACTAACGGCACACAGCGACCGGGTGCGAATGCATTTCCAGGTCCACACGATGGACCTTTTGAGTGGCCGCTACTTCGTTTCGACTGCTTGGCCGTCGTCGGCACGAGGCTCAGCAGCAGCGACTTCTCGGCTGTCAACGCGCGGACTTCTTTCAGCACGTTTGTCGTCAGCCTTGCGCTTTCATTCAGCACGATCAGCACGTGGCAGCTCGAGTAGAGCAATGCCTGCATCTTGAGCTTCTCACGCTCGAAAGCGTGCACTTCCTCCCGCGTCTGCTCTGCCTCCTTCAGCTGCATGTCGTCGTCCGCAGTGCCCTCAGTTGGTATCACCAGCCGCCGACCCAGTGCTCTGCTTTTGCTTCTGCTTGTCGACGCTGTTTTAGCTGCGGCTGCTGCTGCTGCAAATGGACGACGGAAACTCAGACTCTCTGGTCGAGACACACCCAACAGGTAAATGCACCGCGCGACATCGTCGTAGAAAAAGTGAATCGTAGCCGGCAGTCGCACGTCCTTCACCGTCGTCGCGTTCTCCATCTCGTCATCGCGAAACACGTAGCGACCGATCACGCGATTCGCAAACGCAAAGGCGCGCGAAGGAGACGAAGAGCTCGAACTGAGTAGTCCCACGACGGCCGCGTTCCGTTTCTGCAGCGACTGCAGCGCAGCGAGAGCTCTGCTGCGGCCATTTTCCGGAGGATAGACACGCACTGGTTCGTTCTGAGAGCGATCGAAGGGGAGCGGCGGCGCGGGAGATGGCAGAGGCACTGCGGTGGACGGAGGAGGAGGAGGAGCTGCGCCAGCCATGAGCGGCACGAAGCAATGGAAGTTGGCTCGAATGTCGACAATGGGTACACTCTGTCGCACGCACGTTTTGACCTGAGGAGGTACGACGAAGTTGGCTCGAATACGGACATGGGTACACTCTGTCGCACGCACGTTTTCGGTGTCGGAAGTGCTAACGTTGTCACGATTGGATGATTCGTGAAGGGAGTGATCGATTGTCATGGCGAGCGGTTTGGGTCTTTTACCATCGCTTGTTACTGTATATGGGCAGCTGATGAGGTTGACACACTTGGAGCCATTTGCGCGCAAGAACTTCGTGGGTGATCTGTGAGTGCCATGAGGACAGCAAGTCATCACGTTGACAAGGGTAGCAACAGCACGCAACTCGTTGGGCTGAAGTGGAAAGCAGTATCTGGTTAAGCGTACCAATTTCCACTCTCGTCTTTGCATGTGTCTGCAACGGAGTAGCTCGTGACAGTGTAGGAGGCCTCGACTACGTTGCCAATGTCTACTGACCGTGCTCACACATTGTCCTTCATTACGCACATTTGTACAAGCTGACTGCAAGAGAAACAAGCTCAAGTCGCGAAAGGATGTATACCAACTAGCAGGTCTTTCTTCATGTTGAGCAACAACTGCGTTTGTCTTGCCATGACTGCAACGAAGTCGTTGACGGAACGCATAACGTTACGATATCGCTGAGTGCAGAGTGTTGGTGGGTGAGTAATCAAGGCAGGGATAGAATTGCAAGGCAGAAATAGAGCTGCTGGTCAATCACCCCGGCAATGTCATCGACACGCATGTGTGAATCACGACGCAGTCCATGAGCGATCGTGTGTATCGTTGTTCCTGCAGAGATAGAACGGAGTTCCGGCCGAAAGTGTGCATGCCATGAGCGATCGCAGCCACATGTACTAAGCTCTCATCTGCTCAAGGAATGCATTATCATGCTTCGCTGAGCTCTCATTTGCTCAAGGGGCATTATCATGCTACAACTATTCGCAAGTTTAAGCCTTCAACATGGCAACAGAGCTAAGCCGCAGCTTCTGTAATTATGCAAGTCTAGACGTGCAGCGCTTGGCTTTCGTCCGCCAAGATACCAAGTGGTTTGACATGCACACAAATGTGCCAAGAATGAGGATATCACTGCGAGCACGCACAAGACGTGCATCGACCGCTTCAGAAAAACGATGTTAGCTAGAGCTTACGCTGCTAAACAGGAACCTTTGAGCTCTTGAACACTACTATTGGCACAACGATTACTCGTTACAAGCTTCGGACCATATCTGTGAAACAAAGATGGACGGACATGTTGGTTATCACATGCAAGCCAGCGGATCGTCTTCATCCAGAGTCGCTGTAGCTCCTGATTTCGGTCCTATAGGATTGACTCTGAACTGTTCTAAGGCATCGAGGAAAACTCTGTACGCAGCAACTTCAGCGTCCGCTTCATCCATTGCTTCATTGTTGTTCGATTGTTCGGGTGATAACTTGGACTTTAAAACCCATTCCAGCGTGCTCGACCGGACAGTCTTGCTGGTCGACCCATGTGCAGCAATCCCACTAGTGTCTAATCGATCACTTTTTCCACCACCTGAATGTCTTCGTCCTATGGCTTGGGTACTGGCTGGCTCTCCCACTTTCGGGAGGCCGGGTCCATAGCATTTGCGTGTGGCGCACCTTTTCCATCTACCACTATGCCATTGGCCTGCTTGGGGAAGAGCACCTTATGTAGATAGGCTGACACTTCCTCTGTCGTCACCGTAGACGGGTCCCTTGTTTTCTGCTTGAGGGAGAGCACCTTGTGGAGATAGTCTGACACTTCCTCTGTCGTCACCGTAGACGGGTCCCTTATTTTCTGCTCGGAGAGGAGTGTCTCGCCTAAGTGGGCAAGCGCTTGCTCATTCTTCACGCCAGATGGTCCCCTCTGTTCAGCAGCTTCTTCAACGGGGTCGCCGGTCTCACGCAGCATCCGTGAATGGTCCGTTTCTAGCTGAGTAGGTAGATTCGGATTCGGCGTCGTCATATCGGCCAACATTCCCGCCAGTGGAACTGACCGAGCGTCACGGAACGCAAGCAGAATGAGTGCAAGTGCGAGGAGATGGAAGCCTTTGGTCATTGGTAGCAGAAGTGACTTGCTGCCGGCGTGTGGTGGAAGAAAGAGGTCGTGATTCTTGGATGCGTCTGCGATGCAAATGCGGAAATGAGCCAGTGGTGCATGAACATGCACGAGGTGGTTGACAACTCTTTGAGTTATAGTGCCATGCAGAAAAAGCAAGTAAGGTAGAAGCCGGAAGTTAGGTATGCTGCTGATCCTTCTGCACCCATTCTGTGGACGACATCGGGAAGCTGAAGCAATCCTAAACTGGCTTAAGTCAGAAATGGCTTACGTGCTTGACCGTATATATAACGAAGAAAGGCTCAAGATCCATTCGTTTCTCTCTATCATATGAAATAACACCGCCAAGGGTGCTCTGCGACCGTCGTAGCCAGTTATGACAGCTCCGGCTTTTTGCTGTCGGAAAATTTGACTTGAGAAAAGATATAGCTACGCGGCATTCAAGCTGCAACTTAGACGCGTCGAGGCAACACACCATCTATGTAACGGGGCACGCCTTGTGTCAATTCGACACAAGGTTGTGTGCACCCGACGTCACGTACACGTGGCGTGAGGAAGCGCAGCGAAGTAGGCAAAACTCGAAAGTTCTGTCTGAGCGAAAAAGTAGGACTGTTTTTATTATAGTTATGTTTCTTAATAAACTATCTTTTGTCTTGAGCTATCTAGGTTAAACTACAATCTCCTGTGGGTTTCTTGCCCACCACCCATTGCGTGAGTCCAGCAGCGATTGGTGGTTAATCTGGTTGATCTACCGTAAAAACATCAGTCACCAGGTGGAGCAACCCATCAAAGAAATATTACCCTCGAGGGTAATATTCCTTCAACCTTACTCCTAACGGGTAATGTCAATTAAACATTATCTATATATATATAATGCTCAAAATTGATACAAAGATATCAATCTTTATGTAACGGGCTCATCCTGTTGTATCAACCTCTAATCTAGCAGTCACTACAGTGAGTGAGTGATTGTTTGGTGACAGAGTGACCACTATTGGGTCGCTCTGTGGGAAAGGGAGAACTTGTTGGTTCTGCTTAACGCATTCAGCCTTTCAGCGTATGACGAGTTCGTCCGTTCGCTGCGCGATCAAGGCCGCCAGTGAAGCGGCTGGACGGATGCGTCCAGCGGGAGAACAAGATGTCTAAGACTCAGCAGGCGATAAATCACCTGCTGCTGCCAGAAAGCATCCTGCAACTCCCGTAGTTGCAGGAGCACGTGGTCATCCACGTGTTGCTCCTTCACCCGCAGATTCGGCTGCGGGAGGTATTCCCATGGACCAAGTTCACGAGATAGAGGTAGTCTATTCGGGCGAGTCGGATTCTCCATCTGACTCGGAGCCGTGCGCAGAGCCCGACCGGAAATTTGCGGAATCGGCGACTGCTACGCCTCGCGGCAGTCTCGATAAAGACTTGCACCATGAGATGCTTGTTTCATCCGACGAGTCTGTGAACTCGTCACCGGGATCGAACCGTTCGCGCTCGTATTCGTACGAGGCGAGTGCGAAACATGGGGACGTAAGTCCTCATGAGAATGTCGATGACTCTTCGCGGAGTCATCGTAGCCATACCCGCAGCAACACTAGGTATTGCGGCGATCGTGGTGCTAGCTCTCATGTTGGCACCACGCAGGAGGAGCAGGATCGCAACGCGTTGCAATCTGCTGCTGAGAACAAGCCATGGATGTCTACCCTTGAGCGAGTTGAGACAGTGGTATGGTTATACCACTGAAATGTGTCGAATCCTACTTTTTGACTCGTCAAGGATCCATGGACTTGATCCCAGTGCGAGAAATTATCGCATTGAGCATGAATTTACATCGATGTCTTTTTATGACATCGATGGTACAACGGTAACCACAAACGAGACGAATTCCCGTTGGTTCAGGCGTGAAATTCTTTCATCGGTAACATTGAGAATGTTGGCCGTGACACTTGGCTGGACAAATTTACTGCAGCTCGAAATAAGTTTGAACATAAGTCCATAACCGGTGATCAGTTTAAATTGCACCGATTGTCTCGAGAGGCAGGTTTACCTTGCCTCTCGTGGGAAACGACCTGTCAAAGTTGTGTAGACAGTTCCGTTCGCGCTCCGAGGGAGACCTTCATTCTTAATCAACCCTTCTGGAGGGCGCGTATCTCTCCCGAGATGTACGAAGGGATAGAGACTTTACAATATCTTTACGAAAGCACCGGGAGTTCGTTCGACGATGGTCCTCCTTCAAAGGGTGGGTCACATCGTACTGCTCGACGAGACCGGGATATCGATCATCAGCTGGGAGCGGGGCTCCCAGATGTTCCACGAGGGTGGATATCCTCGCCATTGGACGAGGTAAATCGTCCTTGATCCTGAATCTTAGCGGTGGTTTAAGATACGCTCCAAGAGAAGGCGTTGGCCACGGTGTGAGTCCACCAAAGGATGAAGAGGAGGAGGGAAGCCTCCTCCAAGTCGTTCGGATCACCATATCGACCAACACGAGATGGATCGCGCAATCGCTGAATTGCGCGATGATATGGAGCATTAGAGGATAGACGCTATGCTCTAAACGATTATGTGCGGAAGTAACGCAAGGATCGTGAGGCTGATCGTGCGAAGGATCGCGCCGATCACGCCTTCGCACAGCTTTAGGTTGAGCGGGATGTCCGTTCCCTTGTTGAAAAGATGGCGACAGCTCATAGGGAGGTCTCTCAATTGAATGGATAGGAATCTTTACTACGCGATTAGGCTGAAAGTCTGGAGCGCGAGCACAAGAATCCGATAGAGATTCATGAACGTGGGGGTTATCTTCACCCTTAAAAGAGGGCTCGTAATGATAGTACGGACGGAGAAACCCCACATAAAACGTAGGATGTGTTCGCATCCAACGCGGCAGCTCAATCGTATATGCGTTGCCTTGTCGGCGCAGCACAAGAAAGAGACCGATGTACTTGGAGAGTTGTTTACTGCTACCCTCCATTAGTCACTGCGTGTCTAGGTAGATTTACCGTAGAAAGTAGGACTAAATCACATTCAATAAACGAAAGAAAATTTGCTCTTCCATTCTTGTCAGCGTTCTGTTTCTGCCGTTCCACCGCGTGAGCGATGGATCCTGCACGAAGTGGACCACTACTTCTCGAGTCTGCAGAAACCTTTCTGCTGACGAGACATTGTTTCGTTCATTTCGTCCTGTGTAAACCGCAGAAAGAGTCCTTTCCTCTTTCTGTTCATCAGCGAGGGTGTCATCATCCTCGCTGGAACAGTCGTTTGCGATACTTAAAAATACCAGCATCGTCATCGTCGTCGGACTCAATAATAGCTTCATTGCTATTATTGAGATGATCTTCTTCTTCGACGTCGACTTGATCGACATCGGCATCATACGTGACAATGTTAGCGCTTACACGTGATGAGCAAGATCCGGAACGCTTTTTGCTCGAGCGAGCCCCCCCCTTACCCAATAGTTACACTCTAAGATGGTGGGAAGACGTGGATGGTGTAAGCCATTTACGATGAACGGTGTGTGCTGGGTTGAAGCATGCACCGAATTATTGATGGCGAATTCCACCATGGGTCGGAATTCGCTATAACTCGAGAACGAGTGGACGTGTCCTCGAAGTACCTCTTCGAGGATACGGTTTGCACGTTCCGTCGGACCATCTGTTTCGGGATGGTCAGATGTTGACATCTTCAATCACGTTCCGAGCGATCGAAACACGGATTGTCAAAACTCCGCCGTGAAATGAGGGTCACGGTCGGACACGAGTTCACTGTATAACCCATGAAGTCGAAACACTGTGTTGATAACGACACGCGCACATCCGTGAGCGTTGATCGACTCTGGAACTGCAGCAAGATGCACCGTCTTGCTGAACCGGTCAACAAACACAAGAATACCACTATTCTTGTTGTCGTATTTGGGAAAGTCAAAGACGAAGTCCATGGAAAAGGACTGCCAGCACTCTTCTGGGACAGGAAGAGGCTGTAATGGTGCACGGGAAGAAGGACTAGGCTTCAACCGTTGAAAAACCTCGCAAGCACGAATGAACTTGCACACAAACTGATACTAGCGGGGCCACTAAAAGTCACGACTTACCGTAAGGTAAGTCTTTTCCCTTCCACGATGCCCGCCTGTTGGGGCATTGTGACACCCATACATGATGCGTAAGAGCAAATCATTATGAGTGGGGACGACGACACGAGGTGTGTCGCCGGCAACGACGTATAGTACAGCAACCCATTGTGAGTTGTGTACCGATCCTCTTTGGATCGGTACAAAGCCGGTAAATATTTCAAGGATTTACGAGATGGATCCATCAGATGATCCATCAAGAGCAGATGATCCATCAAGCGCAGATGATCCATCAATCGCAGAATATCCTTATCTCCCGCTTAGGCTTTTCTTACGTCGTTAAGTAACGTTGACGATGTGACACTGACTGTAAGTGTCTCAACAGTAGGCGTATCCTCACTATTGAATGGCTCGATCGGCTTGAAATCGGTCCGGCGCCGAAGAGCATCAGCAACGACGTTCAGTCGTCCTGGTTTATACTCTACGAAGAAGTCGCACTACACGAAGAAGGTCATCCATCTCTCCATTCTTTTCAAAAGGTGTGGTCTGTTCACGGCCGTGCTTAGAGACGCATGGTCTGTATAGACGATGAACTGATTCTCTCCCAAGAGGGAAACGCGAAACTTAGTGAGTGAATATTTCATGTCAAGGCGTTCCTTGTCATGCACTGGGTAATATCTCTCAGCTTCTTGCAGCTAACGAGATTGATAGCAGACGGCGCTATCTTCACCTTCTATGTCATACTGCGTATCGGCACAGCCGATAGAAAAAGTCGCCAACGTCACATTCTACATTAAATGGTCTGTACTGATCTGCAATCGCCAATATGGGCGATTGCATCAAGCTCTTCTTGATACCTTCATAGGAACGATGACAGTCAGCGTTCCACGACCACTTCACATTTTTCGTGAGTAAACAAGAAAGATGCACGGTCATCTCGGCGTAGTTGCGTGAG